ATTTTAAATTTTTTAAATTTGTTTGGCCACGTTGACCTCTGTCCTAGCCCCGTTAAAAAATTCCGTAATTTTTTACCCCCCCCCCCCCCCCCCCCCTTGTTTTTTCCTTGTCTGTTTCTCACATATTCCAGGTAATCTCTTAACCCCTCTAACGGAAGTTTCACTCCTATACCTACTACCTACTTGCAAAACTTAGCAGACCGCTGATTAAAATCGGGTGATGGTCACATTGGCCATAACGTATGCGGCACTTACTCCTCGGGCCCTCGGGCTCTCGGGGATGGGTTTACAAACGATTACGTATGCGACAACTATTAACATAGCACCAAAGAGAATAGTAGCGTACGTAGATACATTAAATACATTAACTAGGTACTTATAGGCTACTAAGTTCTAACCCAGGTGGCTTTCTCCTATCCCAGTAAGCTAAGGACGTAATTAGCACAACCACATGGATCGATGTTATGTGCCTGGCAAAATGGCGTCCAAAAAAGACACCCCATACTAGCCACCACAGTATGAGTCATGTTTTGACGGCATTCTGCCTGGGTAACTATCAAAGTTAGTGTTTCACAAAATAACGGTTACAGATGGTAGATTTTGTCGGGGCCGGTAAATTTTCTTCTGGGTAGAGGGGTGATATATTAGATTAATATTAATAGCAAACAGGGGCTAGCTGGGCTATATGGTCCGAGAGACATCCCGTTTCTAACTAGAAATTTAAGATATGAGGAATCAGAGCCATTTACATAAGAAAAACGATAGTTTTGATGTGATCGTGGTCAATAAAGTCGACCCCAACGTTAGAAGAAGGAAAGGTAACAGATACAATAACTTGTAGGGTTAAACTATTCGACGATTTATCTCCTTCATCTGTCAGCTTTGTGATTGGAGAAAGTTGCCAAGAGGTAATATTTCAGACGCGTCCGGCATTGACAGTGACACGGTGGGTATAGTCTCTGTTCAAGACCTTTAACAGCCGTATTCTCCCTAAGGCTAATAATTAGAAAATGAAGGAAGGCAAGCTAATTATAATCAATCTTTCAGCTCAGGATATACGGCATAAACCATCGAAGTCCATCAATCTTCCAGCGATGTTCCAATATCCGCGTAACGCACCCAGTAAAAGCCCCAATCAAATAAACAAGAAAAATGCCGCTATCACCGACAGCCAACCCCAAGTCCAGTTCCAACATCTAGAAGACGACGCAGCATTCCCGAGCTCGCGCCACTGATATCCGAATGTCACATTCTGGATGACAGCCTGGTTGTGACAGTTTCCCCCGACAATATCCACGTTTTTCAAATCGTCGGGCGTAACGAAGAACATATACTGCCTCTGGTCGATCCCCTCGAAGCCCGAGGTGTCGTAGGGGAACAAGTCTGAGCTGTCCGTTGCTGTTGTGTTGCGTAAGAATATACACTGTACCTGTCCCGGGTAGTCGTGCACTAGCTGCGGGTAATCCTTCATGACGTCTGAGTTGGACGTGTCGGCCATAAGGACAAATTTCCGTTGCGGAAAGGTTTGGAAGATTTTGTCCAAGAGCGCCTTTCGTATCGATAGCGTCGCCGAAACATCCGAAAAGTTCAGCGGCCGCGTATCGAATGAGCCGAGGGGGTACGTCTTGTAGATGAATCTGTGGTGTTGTTAGTTCTAGCTAGCACCCCTTACGACTGACGCCTCTAGAAGTCTAATGGCGTGAATAAACTTACTCCATGTAGTTCCTCGTCACCTGCTCTGGTGTTGTAGTGAGGTAATGAAAGTGGAAATTCGGGATCGTGGCATACCAGTTGGCGTAGATATCCGGCATATTCCTCCAGGGAGTGAATTCTCGTGCGAATGAGTTTAAAAGACCTTCCTTGGGGTCATATATCTTGGTGACACGGAGAATGTCATCAATATCAGAGATTATCGTGAAGCCTGTTGGCGGCACCAGGTAGGCCGTCGCGTTTCCTATGTCGGATCCCCGGGCGTACATATTGAGAGCCTGTATGGATGAAGTTGCATTGCCGGCCATCAGATGTCCATTATTAGGGCCAGTTGTGTTCTTAAGTATGACAAAAGCATCAAAGTCACCTTCATTTGTTGTTTTATACGGAAGGAAGATGTTTTGTGCACCGCCCTCCTAGTTTTTGTTAGTCTTCTGATAATACGTAGTTCATCCCTATCTGTACCAACTCACAGCCTTGACCAGGCCGCCGCCTGCATCCGGACGAACGTCATCGTTTTCAACATCGTTTGCAACATCGTTCTCGAAGTCGATAGTTACATTCAAATCTCCTTGCTGAACGACAAAGATGGAAGCTGTTAAGTTTCGAGCTTGCTTTTGTTCTGGTTCGGATAGCTCGTCTATATCTACATCGATGAGGAATACATTGGCGAGATCATCGAGTTTCTTTTCTGAGATATCGGGTTGCTTGTATACGTTTCCATGCACTCGAACATTCCATCCTTCTTCGGTCCAATTCGCGTATGCTCTAAAAACACACTTCTTGTTAGCGAGGGGCTCGTCATGGCGGTGAGCTATTACAGTCCATCCTTACGGGATATTTAGAACCTGAGTTGGCTTAACATCTAGGTCCGAGCTATGGATTCCAAGAGAGCTCGCAACAGCTTCACCACTAGGGAAGTCTTGGAAGAACTGCGGTACGCCTGATGCTACGTAGCTTGAGACGTCGCTCCCAAGGCTGTCTAGTATACTGCCAATGTAGCTTCCGGGTTCGAAGCGGCGGTTTACTTGTACTCGATTACTTAGGTCGGGAGCTGGTGTAATCATAGGATGTGTAGGCGGTATAGCCAGGGCTGCCCTGATCGAGAATAGCGACAATAGCCATATCGATACTAAATGACACGATAATACTGCCATCTGTCATTTGTGTTAGGTATTAGATAGTAGGTAATGTTTAGCACTTATTGTCATAATAATTGGGATATGTAAGTTTGAGGTTATTATCTCGTCCGATCTATTAAAATCCATCCTGCGTAGTTAGATGAAAAGGTATGTAAAATAGTATGGAGTAGGTGCGTTGTAATACAAATGAAGTGTTCCCTGTTTGTTAGCGCTGTTTGTTAGCGCTGTTTGTTCCTTTGTCCCTCCAAGACCTTGGCGATGACATCACTGGGTACCGATCGTCGTTTGTGGTCCCTTGCATGTGTTCGCGGGAAAGTGGAAAGGCCAAAACGGAATGGGAATTAGAAACTTCCCCATCAAATAAGGTTAATTGCTTACGGCCGGCCCCGAGTGCAACCTTCCAGCCCCGCTCCTCCTAATTGAAGGTAGGTTAGGTACTTTATCCAAATATCGAATTCTGATAAGCATTTCATGAATGCTGACTTATACTTTATTTAACACACTCAATCACCACCATGGCTTTAGCATATGACGAGGCCCTTATGTTCTAACATCGCAGAAGTCCAGCTTTTTCTGCTTCGTTGAGCCCACAACTCAGGAAGAATCGTAAACCCACGCGATATGTTCGCATAGCCTACCATACTATATATTCTCTTTAGCGTCGCAGTAAAATATTGTCGATGGTCCTCCGAGACGCTCTCGGCAGCGGCTACGAAGATTGGCCATACGACGACGTGGGACCCTGGTGCAGCCGGGTCAAGCTGCTCATAGAGAGTCCTGATTTGTTGCACACGATCTTCCATATAGTATTCCAGGCTGAGTGAGGATGTTTCTGATTCCGCTCTCGTCGTATATATCTCCCCCGCGAGTCGAAACAACTGTTCGTATACGTGGAAGTATCTCGAGAAATCGTAAGCCCTGCGTTGTGGAAGGTTCTTTTGTTGCTGGCAGTTTTCGAGGCCGTGCACGTAGCGCTTAAACATCGCAACCGGATCACTTGACATCCGCGGGGGAGGAACAGGTCGAGCTTCGAGAGAAGAGAAGGGCTGCGTAAAGAATCCTATGCTGTTTGTCGTAAGTCTTCCAAGTTTAATTTATATTATAGTGTTGTTTATCATGAGGAGGGGGGTAAGTATTGGACAAATTACTAGGGGTTGACTAACATGCAAGACTGGAAATACAAGAACTTCTCTAACTGGGTTGCTGATTCCTTCAGAGGCCCTCGGGCTTCGAGAAACACAGTGAGTAGCTTGTATAAAGTCGATACATCCTCATGACCTATCACAAGATCGGCCACTATTAGAAGGACAAGGGTCGCCCAGGTAATCTCGCTCAGATCAGGGTTCACCGCCGAAGCCTCGGAAAGCTTACGGATCAGGCTAGCTCTCACAATCTCGGCGGGAGCACGAAGCTGTGGTATCTGCGATGAGAGATGGAAGGCCGATGCGATACAGACGGCTTTTTGGACGAGAGGTTCATGGTACGCTACGGGCAGTATATGATGCCTGTAACCATTCGTCTCGTCATCAAACAGTACCATGAAGGGAGATACACGCGCAGCAACTTTAACTGTCAGTACCAGGTTGATAGCTCTGATTATGAGAAGATAGAAGTTTACAATGCAAGAAGTGTAGACGGATTCTGGGGTCTAAGTCTGACACTACAGTCGGTACCGTCGTCGTTATGCCTGAATAATCGAATGGCAGCATGTCGTTTACTGTTGGTGGCGCCTTTGAAAGTCGTGATGCCGTCTTTAATCCGTCTCTCGAACATTCGATCCATCTATAAGGCCTTCTTGGTCGTTTCGACCCAGTATGGTTTCCTTCTGAAGATGACACCGATAGTAGGCTAGAGCTAGTCACCCCTTTGGCAAAGCGATATCTCACACCATACCCAGGGCAGTTTAGATTCTTTTTGGTACATTTAACGCACTGGTTTTCGGTCTTGTCACAGACAATGCGTCGTTTGACACAATTATAGCAGGCTAATCGTTGGGGTTAGACCAGCGTAACGTAGTTCGCTAAACAGGGTAAGAGAAAATAATAATAGCCTCACTCACATTTCTTATCATTCCCTTGATCTGGCATTGTTCCTAACCTAGTGCCTTTTTCTAGACTCAAGTTGTTGTCTCCTGCATGGAAGATTACGCGTATATAGGTACCTGGCCACCGCCTCTACGAGACTCGAGATATGTAAGATGAATAGGGGTAAACAGAAGGACTTAAAGGGATAGATTTAGCGCACGTGCAACACGCGATAAGAAAACTCATATATCATAAAAGCCTGAAGGATCCGGACTTTTAAATACTTTCCGTTATCAATACAAGCATCCCGAAGCTGTACTAACAACGAAAATTATTCTCACCGGTGTCAAGGAGAAACAGCTCAATACTAAGACGTATGTACTATTTTCAGACACATGACCTTGGTGTAACATGCCAAATTGTAGCCATGATCTTCAACGAGCTTCAAATAGACATAATTATTACGCTATTACTACCTTATATCTACGTAAGCCTTAAGGACGCGTAACTAAAGACAACCACCTATTTGAGGTAGTTATAGTCACCGAGCCGATAAAGTCTGGTCGTCTATAGTCAGTCGTAAAAGTAGCCTATTGCTCGCCTTCCTAATTATAATATAGCATGACTAACATAAGTCATACGAGACGGCTGGCGTCAGCGTAATGCTGATCTCATAACAAGAACTCGTCTCAGTTCCTCATGGTCTTCAGCTCATCCAACACCTCCTTGCTCACCCTGCCTCCCTCCTCGATAGCCCCATCAATGCACCCCCTCCAGCCCGCCGCCCAGTCCCCGCTCGCAAATAGCACGTTCCCGTGCCTCTCCCGGAGCGTAGTAAGGTACTTTGTGGCCATGCCCGGTCCCAGCCACGCCCAGGTGCCCTTGGAGAACTCGTCCTCGTTCCAGTCGTGGAAGACAAGACGTTCTACGACTGTGCCGTCGGCGAGGCTACGGAAGGCCAAGAGCGCAGCTTCTGGGTCTTCTTTCGGCTGTAACTTCGTGCCAAGACCCACGATATGCGTGTTGCCAGCGGGTGTGATTCCGTCGCCGGACATATAGTTCAGACCTCCGGCGGGATGTGTAAGGGCGCTGACGGACCGGAGATCTGGGCCCTGGGTTTCTGCATTGACTTTGACAACAAAATTGACGTGGCCTTGCTCTGATGCTGCAAGTTTAGCTGCCGGGAGAGCTGGAGAGAACGAGATGTCCTTCAAGACGTTAAGCGGTACAGTGCAGATTAGTCGCCGGGCCTTAAAAACAGTCCCGTCGCGTACTGTCACCTCAACTTGGTCCCCTTGATCAGTCACCGCGGATACTATACTCAAGAACTTATAGTTCAATTGACCGGTATCCGCGGCCTCATCAAAGAACTTCCGAGCGAAATCCGACTGTCCACGCGCCAGCTTGAAAGTCGCACTTGCAGCTAGGAAGTCCATGCAGTTATATCCGCCGAGAGCCCAGTTGCGCAGAACTTCCCAAAATGAGGCGTCCTTTAGGTCGCTGCCGCAGAGGACAGAACAATACACTTCCAAGACAGCACGATCCATCGGCTCGAGCTGGCCTCCTAGCTCCGCGATCCGATCGGCTATAGACATATTGTCGAAGCGCTCGAGAGCCTCGGTGTTGAAATGCTGGTTATATGGGAATGGGATGACAGCGCGGCCGCGCTGTCCGTCGACGTCAACGAACTTGTTGAATACGGTCTCGAGCTTCGTAAACTACATGGTACATGGTAATGAGCATACAGCAACGCTTCCGAAACACACTCTTCGAGTTACTTATTGGACATACCTCTTCTTCGTGGCCCAAGGTGATAGTATCATTCCCTACCCGAATAATAGTCTTCCCACTTTCTAAACTGGGCGAGATCTCAAGTTCATTCGTAAGTCTATATCGCGAAAGTTCCCGCCAGATAAACGGCTGATACCAGTGTACCCAAGTTCCACCCAGCTCGAACGGGTAGTCTCCGATGTCAGTTGAAAAAGCACGGCCGCCGATACGGTCTCGTGCTTCCAGAAGCAGAACTTTGTAGCCAGCGGTCGAAAGATCACGAGCAGCGGTCAATCCTGCGTAGCCCGCCCCTATGATTATCGCGTCATAGGGATCCTTCTGGTCGGTAGGTATCAAGTTCGAAGGTGGCTGGACTACGCTGACTGAAGGGACGCCTGTTACTAGGCCGCCCTCCTTAGTCCAATGGAACCCGTCGCGGGTAGTCGAGTTTGCCATATTGATTGTTTGAAGAGCTCCTACTCAACTAGCAAGTCTCCTGGGGCCCTATACTGTGTAATCATGTTTCCCCTCACCCTGCGTAGGTTATTGCCCTTATATATTCGCGTGCTATCCTCTCACCTTGGCTATCCATTGGGCTGTTGGCGTTTCACTTGAATAGGAACCTATGCCGGAGGCTCCGTCTTCAAGCGGTCTTATCTTTCTCATTATTCTTCCCTAATTGAGAAAATTATTAGAATATGATCTACTAGCACGGAGAGCCTCAGTTCCGGTAGTTCTACCATGGATAAGCTAAGGGCGCAAATAGATCTGAGCAGGGGCCATTTTCTCACTTTTATTGCCGTTTTAGGAAAATATGGAATGGCCTCGAGTGATACGCCCGCAGGCCAACCATTAGCTCCTTAATTCGATCAAAAGACCTTACATCGCATACGCATCGCTACCACCGTGCTGCTCCCCATCCGACTAATCGAAATTCATCTAATCTAGGTAGCTAAGTACTCTTGTTAGTGAAATGCTTTCCATATTGGATGCTGGATTCTGTTAAATCAACTTACGTATTCTTTCGGGAACTGGATATTTAATTTGCCAACCAAAATTTGAGTTGGTTCTGAAGTTTTGGAGCATGAGCATAGTTAATATATTATCACTATACTTGTTCTCTTACGGACTAGTTTAGGTAGGCTTCTGCTACGGTGTGACTGTATAATATGATTACCGAGACGAAAGAATAAGAAAACGTTAAATCACCGAGAGAAGATACAAAATTAGAATCGCTGTTTTGTATTATTATCGTCCTACCTACCTACTAATGGTGCCTCTCTTGGAAGACAGGTAACCTAGTAACATGACTGACTCTATCCTACTATAGCTACAGTCCAACGAGACCGCGGATAAACCCCGCAAAACTAGAGTTAGCCACAGCGTCTAAGATGTAGACTGCAGTCTCCTACTAGGTACAGTTCTTCAGCGGACTGGAATGTGTCGGTCTATAGTTCGTCGGACTCAAGCGAGCAGGTCTCAAGCGTACGACACTAGAGCGGATCACACGTGAGCGTTCCGATATGGGACACGATGGGTCAGGGGGACTAGGGCTGGAGCGTACATCCTACGTACCCTCCACCTTTATCTTACTTCGCGTAGAGGTTAATTCGTCCTGCTTGTAATGCGTTAGTACCGAAATGAGTGCCCTACGCTTTAGGGATGCAATATGCAAAAACCTACCTCGGCTTTCCTCTTTCCCGTCACTGGCTCAGGAGTGCCCCTAGAATACACTGGCGTGTTTCCGCCATCCCTAAATGCTTCTTTATAACAGCTGGCATGATATATCTTCTTGCCGACTTTCATAGTGTCAGGCCACACAAACTCCTGTTGCAGGTCTAGCCATCTCGTCTCAAACTTCTCTTGGCAAATGCTACAAACGCTGTTTGCTAAACTAGTATCGTCAGGTACTGGAATATATTGCAACTGCGGCGGTTTAGGAGCGGCGCCGCCTGATGCAGAATTAGAATCTCCGGATGGGGCCACATAGTCCTCGTCGACGATCTCCCTCGTTTTAATCCAATCCTAGTCACATTAGCATTATAATTACGTGACATAGTTTAGCAGAATACGTACTACTTCATCGACTAACCAGCTCCGATGTTGTCCTCGCTTCTCAGCTTCGGCCATACGCTGGTTCACCCGGAAATGCCAGTCCATATGGGCCGTCTTTTTCTTCTTGCCCTCCTCATTCTTCGGGAACCGTCGTCCGCACTGTGTACATTGAGGTCCTAGAGATTCGAATAGGAAAGGCAATAAGTGAGGGCGAAACCTACATGCCCATTAGTTTAAAGTAAGAGAGATTTTTGAAAGGAACGTACTGTTTGAGAGACGATGGTCTCAGAACGATATCACTTGTAAGACCCTCAAGAGTAGAAAGGCGAATATGTTGAACGACCGGGACCATAGCCGGGGGGTTGAAAGCAACAGGAAAGGAGTTTGAAGGTGTTGGGCGAGAGACAGGTGTCGAACTACTAACCGGTGCCGTACCCGGAAGTAAGCCGGCTTGTCTCAACATATTCATTAGTGCCATAGGATCAGAAGGAGGTGGTGGCGGCTGGTGTGTAGTGACTGGCTTCTTAGATTCAACCGGTTTTGGTTGTGGTGGCGGAGGCGGAGTGTGAACAACGGCAGGTGTAGGAGGGTGATAAGGTGCAGATGCTTGCGGCGTGGCAGAATTCCGTGCCATTAGGGCAGCTAGAGCACCTGCACCGAATAATGAATCTAAAGAAACCTTGGGCGCCGGCGCCGGCGGAGGAGCTACTGCTACGGGTGTTGGTTGTGGCTGAGGGATAGGTGTAGGAGTAGGTGTTTGTGATGGGGGTGCTCTTATAGTCACGGCGAGATCAGCAATTTGATTCTTAACAAGCACTAACTGATCCTGTGGCAGGTTCTGGGTTTGAAGTATAGTTTGCAAATCCATGAGCGCCTTCAACCTTGTCTGTATACTAGGGTCATGCGGGTTCAATGCGATTTGGGCCTTGGAGGCCGTAATCAGTCTCTGGATGTCATTATTCAAAGCATCTATGCTGATTCCAGCCTGTGGTACGCCATAGCCTCCTAGCTGGGGGGGTTGGAAGGCCATTAATCCTGGCGTAGGTTGTGGTGTAGATCTGGTCGGCTGTGGTTGACTCTGAGCAGGATATTAGTAACAATCATACTACATTTAGGGTTAAGAGCTTACATGATGCGACGGGTAAGTGGTCGGAGGTAACTGACTCGAGCTACCATAAGACGGGCCGTGTGGGCTGGGTACAGGGGCCTGGGAGGAATAGCCGTTTGCCTGAGGAGGCGGGTGGTAGCCTGGAGGAGTAGGCGTCTCGCGATATGGCACCCCCTGGCTTGCTGGCCTCCCACGACCAAGCAACTGTTGCTGACCTTGTTGGTGTTTCTGCTGTGCCTGTAGGTGTGCTGTTCTCGCCTTAATAAGTGCGTTCTCAATGGGGCGTGTAACATCCGGAGGGAAAACGGGTCGGGTATCGAGCGAGCCGGCAACGGGTCCCTTCCAGGTCCTAAGCATCTCGTCCATCTTGCGTCGGGTAGGCATATCGACTGATGCGTAGGCATCCATGAATGTCTGATATAGCTTTCGGCCGAAGTAAAGCGTATATGGCGTACCCACATTCTTTACGATGGAGTCGAGGACATAGAGGGCAGGTAGTTTCTTTTGAGGAACAACCTGGAAGAATATCAGTATAATACTCCTAGATATCTTTAAACAAGCTGGTAGATAATGCGTCAATGGGACAAGGAAGATACCCGTCTACCATGTAGTCGGCGCAGAGAAAGAATTAACCCACTCGTTTGATGTGATCCTGAAGAGCGCCGGAGATGGCATGCGCGTGTTCGGTGTTTTCCCTTGCAATTACAGTCAAGGTGCTAATTTCGGTTCTGTCGAAACTCTGAAGATCTTCAAGAGCATCTCGAAAGTCCTGGGCTACCGCCTCAGACTCGGAGTCGTTGGACATGATTGCTTAATATACGCAAGCACGCGACGATTGAATCGATGGAAACGAACTAGCGAGGAGGGTCTCACGATGTATAAGACGAAGGGAGTTCAGACCCTGATTTGTCGCTTTTCTCCCTCTTGCACGTAGAGAACAATGACCCAGTTCTAAGGTTGTATAGATGTCACAAAGGCAGATGAAGATAGATGCCCCTCACTCAATATTCTCACCAGAAATAAAGGCACGAGAATTGTAAGATAGGACCACTCCTGCCTAGTTCCACCAGTTTGCCAAAGTGGCCACGAGAAACTGCCTGGTGGTAGGTATTAAGAGATTATGAGAGCTCAAAACATTGTCTTTCCCAGGATCCTTCTACGCCAACGGGCTACGGGACTAGCCTGTATGCATGCAATCCTCTATTTCCTCAAGCGATACTTAATCTTGTACACACCTGGTGAATGGGCTGGATGCGATCGCGAATAAATGGAGTTGTAAGGTGGTTGAAGTCACGTTGCTGGAAGACAGGAAGACGGGAATCGGATTGTAGACCAGTTGAAGATTGCCGCACGTCGAGAATATTGGAAGCAGAAAGCTGTCGCAAGTGATCCTGTTAGGCTGCGGCAAGAAAATCGTAAAAGGAGTGGTTAAGTCTATGTAAATTGAATCGTCATGTTGAACTCGCGGGGATTGTGAAGAAATAGAAAGTTGTAGGAGAAAGATGCATGCTAGATGTTTAGCTTGTTGACGAAATGTACGTAGGTGGAAATCAAATAATGAGCAAAGTTCAGGTACTCATCGGTACAAGTTACAAGATCTACTGGATTACCTAATATTGCGGCTAGATCGGTCACGTGCCCTTCATGTAACCTACCTAGGTATGGAACTGGAGGTTCCGTAGCTGCACATGTGGCTTATACGCTAGGTACATAGGTACAATACCATAATCATACCACTACATGATAGAAACCTACAATCATTTACCTAAGCACACGACCTCATTGATCTAGTCCGAGTCACGCAGAAATACTACATTATGAATACGCGTAGTAGAAAAATCAAATTGAATATTTGTCATTGCGTCGCTTTCCTACCTAACCTAATTATGACTGTTACTAATGTATGCTACAGTAAAAGCTAAAGCAAAATGTCCGCTGTCCAGAATTTGGGTATACCTATCCGAAATTACAAAACCAAACGCCTCATCTCAGTGAACACCGTGCCCTATGCTAAGAATATGCGGACTAATCATCCCGTTTAGTCCACTTTAAATCCTGTTCTCAGCAAAACGATCAAGATGACTCGCTTCGCTATATCGGCTGGATCTTGATCCGGCATTGTAGGCAGGGTGCAGAGCAGTAGGGGGACGCTTCAAATCGGGAATTATAGGACTGGTGCGATCGTCGACGGGGAAGTGGTCATCGCTAGGTCCGTACTCAATATCAACATCATGAGTAATCGGGTGGCTGATCTTGGGCTTGGAATTACCCCTGTTGAAGATGGAAAATCTACTCTTGGCCTTTTCCTTACGGATCGAATTGCTTCGGTAGCTATCGTATTCTTCGGTGAAGTTGATATCTCTGGTGGTCGCACCATTGTTGCGGACCTCTCGAGCATGAACGCCGCTCGCCCTGTTGCTGAAGACGAGCGAGGCAATGACGTTAGTAACGCCAAACGCGATTGCGATGATGCCGGATGCCATGATAGCTTGCCAAACCTGGAATGGTACGTCCTTGTTGTTGTAAGTATCATTGCTGAGCGCACCAAGATGGTGGCATCCCATAAGAATCATAGCGATGCCGAGCCAGGTGAAGCCGCGGTCTTCGCCGATTGCTGGCCAGTTCCGACTAATCATCGCCTTGCCCATTTTGATCGGTAGCTCCGTCCAGAACAGGAGACCGGCGACGGCGATAACGAAGGCGAGGGAGACGTCGTTGAAGAACTGAAAACCGTTGGGCATCTTGGCGAAGAACATCATGATCCCCGAGACGAAGATGACGGCCAGCAGAACAGCAAGATTACAACCACGGATGACCTGAAGGATAATAAAGGCGGAGCCTTGGAATCCGGAACTAGACTTGAAGCCCATGGTGTTGGTGATTCTTGCGATACCTAAGGTCGTGTCCCTAGGAGTGTAAGCATTAGCGTTGCGCAACTTAGGCGGCATAGTTGGAAATCTAAAAAATGGGAAACCAACTGTTGAAACTGCCAGCAGCTTATTGCGAATTTACTTTTTTCTTTTTCTTTGGTAAACCGGGGATCTGGCTCGCAGATCTATCAAAATTGATGGAACGAAGGTGGAAGAAATAAAGACGGTCGAAGAGAAGATGGTTAACGAAAGGTAGGTGCTGAAGAAAAACGTAAGGTACCAAATGGTATTGTTACGTTTTATAAAAGTTGATGACAATGGATTAGGCAAAAGATATTGCTATTATGTACATCCGTCGAGGACAATAAGAACCCTTGTGAATTAAAGCCGATGAACAAGGAAAGTCGCGTGGGCCGGGTGGCTCTGGAAGTTTTAAATAGGAATGAAAAAAATGAAAAAGAAACGCACTGAAAGAAGTGGTGTGAGACGAAGGAAAGAGGTTGTATTTAGGGACAATCAAGAATGAAGGACTTGAATCAATTCATCAATTCATCAGAGTATCATGTACCATCTACAAATGTAGGTTGTGCATTGGGCAGGTGTCTTTGACCAATGAATTTAGTCGGGCGCGAATGTTCTCACGCTTGATGCTCGATCGAAGCCTGAGTATCCCTTGAAATGCCCCTCGAAATGCCCCTCGAAGTGCCCCTCGTCAGGGTCGTCAGGGGGGTACTGAACAGCCGAAGGGATTGGTACACGCGTGTTTATGACCCAAGTTAGAAACCGCCGGGTACAAAAGACATGGTATGATCTGGAAAATTATTGCTTGCATGTTCTAAGGTGCACATCTAATTCCAAGATGCGTGTGGTGAATCTCCTTCCCTCAGACGGGTTAGATCTGCAACTGTCCCGGCGCTTGACACGAATCATAACCCTTAATGATCCACGTATTATGATACTAGGAAACCGGCAGCTAGGAAAATGGCAGGTCCTGCAGCGGGAGATCACCATATCCAATGATTCAAAGTAGTCTATTTCCCGTCGAGCGAATACATCGTGAGAATTGGGTTACAACCCGAGTTTTATTGGCTGTCAGTTACCGATTTTGGTTTCACATCGATCTTTGACCCATTAGCCAAACCCCACCAAAGTCTTCCTAAGTGATAATTCATAGACGCCACAGGAAATGATCCTTCAGATATTCAGCTCGGATGATTTGGGAATAACTTCAGACTACATTACATGACTGAACCTCGGAGTAAATCAAGTACAAGGCATCTGATTGTTCTATGTCCTTACTGTGATTCCTTACTGTGATTCCTTTGAATTATTCTTCATTGTCCTCCAACACGTAACCTAGGCCATTGTTCGCATCTTCATTCCTACAAAGGGACCAAGTAGAGGGCTTGTGTTTGTATGTTTGTATGTAGCTACCTATGCATCTAACGTGGATGTGTGTAAGTACCTACCTAAGGGAGGAATCACATCATCGCAACCATCATCGTAATTAACAATATTAAGATGAATCAGGAATATCTTTCAGATCGGTCTACAACTGATTGTACCCGAATCTCATCTCATCTCATCTGCTATTTAGTAGCGAGCTATGTGGGGGATCTAACAAGTCCACTGTTATGGATGTATGTAAGTCGAATCGATTTTTGATGAAGGAAGGATCCAGAATATCTACTATGTACATAGACCAGTCACTAAAAATGATTTGATTGGTTAACCGTTAAAGTTCTTTGCGGCAGGCAGCCAGCACTGACCAAGCGATAAGCCCAAAGCGCGGCTGTAGGCGGGAAACACCCCTGCGGTACGCTGTGGCGCCCTTTATTTTAAGCAGCTGGCGGCTAGACACATTGGACACATTGGACACATGAACCTAACTTTAGATTCCTCCTCCTAAACTCATGTTGTAAACCTTTCCATCTTTAAACCACCAGACCGATAAGCCACCGACTTGCGTTTTATTAAGCGCTGCTTCTATTACCCTTCCCTCGTCTGTCCTACCTCTCTCCACATACTTTATTTACGAAACCATGGCTCGCGGCAACCAGCGTGAAAAGGCGCGCGAGAAGAACCTCAAGGCCCAGGCTTCTCAGGTAAATCTTCCCGCTTTGCTTACGCCCTTCCTGTTCACCTACGCACTTTTACCGCAACACCCGCGATCGATCGCTTGTCGTAGAGATACTCGAACCGGAATAAGTCTATTGAGCGAAATATGCTGATAGACTTGGTCTGGCTCGATATTAATTCATGTGTATACCAGAGCTACTGAAAGCAGCGGAAGCACTCAACCTAAGACATAGTGTTCATGATATGCTAACCGCTCTTTTTGCGCAGAAATCAAAGAACGCCAAGAGCGGGACTGAGATGCAACGCGACAAGGAAGCTGTCGCCGAGATGATGCGCAAGAAGCAAGCTGCTGGTAAGATATATTTTCTTCTTCGAACAAGAACAAAATGCGGCTATTTAGATCATTTTCTTGCCATATGACATACCTGCGTGTTCTGTTCGTAAGCTGATCCATCCTTTGTTCTTAGCCGACGCGAAGAGGGCAGCCGCCGCTGCTGGCGGAAAGTAAATGGACTTCCAACATAGCGAATGGCGTATTTACCTATATATACCTTAGGTATAGGAGGGACATGTTTCACGATATCATATAAATAGGCCGAATATTTTTCGACCAGACGGGGTTCTAGGCGTCTGGACTTTATCAATTTCGTTTCTTTATGAATGCGATCATTATTAATCCGTAGTGTTCCCTAGATGTGACTGTTTCTGGACATCCGCTATGTATATACTCGGTTCGCTCAAGTGTAAGGCCATGTAGTCTTCCACATTTAATAGGCGGTCATATCATAGCATTGGATTAAGTATTGGTATTTTTACTTGATCTGATGACCTATTAAGTGCACCTATAATATACGATCCAGTCATATGTTTAAAACAAAGAATCCCTATGCCAGGCAATAAAAAAAAGAAGTCTAGTCATTCAGGCCAAAACCCCCAGATATACAGAACATCTCTGACCCGCGTTAGCAACAGCCGCGGCATCAGTCATAATCCCCAGACGCTATTACCACTGCTTAAACAGTCTCCATCATGCTGGAAGGTATACCTCCTGCGAAACCACCAAAGGCACCGATGCCTTGGGCAGCGTTCACGGGGAAGCTGCCAGTGCTGCATTGGACGGCGCAGACGCAAGCACCGTTCTGGATGGTGCCGGTGCCCTGGGTGACATCCGATGGGACAGCAACAGGCGCCGCAGAGCTGGCGGCGGGGGCGACAACGGCAGGCTCGGTAGCGTTTCCAGTGATGGCACTGCCGGCCCCCGCACCGTTCTGCTGGATAGCTGCAGCCTGGAATAAAGCTTGGGTCTTCTCAGCGCTAGGGTTGATCGAGAAAGTCATACCCTTGCCACAGTGGCCCTTCTGCTTGCAATAGAACCCTAAGGGAATAGTTAGTTGCGATTCTAGATAGGGATTATAAGGGGCTTAAACTTACATAGAGGTTCGGTCGTCATGACTTGCATGGCAACTTTGGGAGGGGGGCTGACGGTGTTGTTGGGGTTGGCTTGGAAACCAGAGTCCATACCGCCCTCCATGGCCTTGCAGGGCTCGGCGAAAGTGGACTGAGTAGCGGTGTGGTTCATGCTCATGAACTCGAAGATAACCATGTCACCAACGTTTGCCTGTACTTGATCGGGAACGAAGACTAGGCCGGCAGAGCCACCGACTTGGACTGTGTGGGTTGCCATCGCACCAGCAACAGCCGTGGCACTAGCTCCAGCCGCTGTCTCAGTGACTGTCTTAGTTACAGTGACTTGTTCGTGCAGCGTCGTCGTCTGAGCGTTGTTTCCAGGGTTCGCCCAGATCACGATAACCTGAGTCGTCTGTCCTAACGAAACGCCCTGTACCAAGTTGATTGTCTCGCCAACGCTTTCAAGACCAGGGAGTTGTTGTAGTTGCCCACTGTGGCTGGTCCTCTTTTGGGGGTAGACGTTGTTAACGGCTTTAGCGATGGCCAGAGGCGCAACGGCAAGCGAAAGAGCTGTAGCGTACTTCATATTGACGGCTTTTGAAGTTTGGAGAATTAAACGTTAATGTTCCTTTTTTACGGGAGGTCGTTATAGATTGAGTATTGGTATTCCTGAATGACCGTGATGAACCTGGCGATAGAATGCTTCAAAAGGCGAGGGCCTGCTCGTAATTAAGAGAATGGACACGTAAAATCACACCGGGACGATGGAAAGAAAAGAGCGTATACACAGGACAAGTCGTCTGAAGAGGAGTGAAAAGAAACAGCCAAGGTCTGGCCCCAGAGGGGGACCTCGTTACTTAAATCAGGCATAACGATCTGCTGTCGGGCTTGAGTTGGACCCTGAGATTATACCTCCCTGACCAGGAGTTTCCCTCGAAACAGGGACAGCAAAAACTTCCGTGCAGCACGCAGCTGGGGATGCTTGCCGGGGCCAAAGGCACCCGATCAAGACTGGAGACGCACGGGAACCGGAAATATGCCACTTAATTGTTCACCACGGCGGAGCACAGTCCAGTATAGACTAGGGCGGCCCATGTACAAGACGGGTTTCGCGGCTCTAAGACGTACAAGGGCTTGGAGTAGGTGGACGTGACAGATTTGTCTCGGATGGCGTTTGGACCCCTCGCTTATAAGACTACAAACCAGGGGTATGCAGTCATAGCTCAACCCCCTATTAGGACGCCAAGGCTGGGGATAGCCAATCCGAAGTTGACTCTTTTTTTTTTTTTTTTTTTTTTTTTTTTTTCGATCTGGAATTGTTATTCCTTCTGAGTGTTATCGTAGTAAACATTTTGACCAATAGTTTCTATGTAGGATTAACTAACTAAAAGTTACGATGAGTTTTACGATAGAGATGATTATATGTACTATGTATTAGATATGTCTACATAGTGACAGGGAATTTGAATCTGTATTACTGTAGTAAAGCTGTTATTTTGGTTGTTTATCGCTTAGTGCATATAATATGACAGCTATTGGTCTAGGCCCAAAGCCTACGGGCCAGTACAGCTAAACCAGAGAAGCGTTTCCGTTGAAATTTCTTTAGGGTCCGTATTGAGATCTGTTCTTGGCACTTATACCGAACACTCATGGGGACCACGTTTTATTGCTTTCATGCGGGAGCCGGAATTTTATTTATTTTTGTTCTTCCTGTAAACCTTTTAATAATAACTGATATATAGCTGCCTACATAGTAAGCCAATATCAACATTCCTATGAATACATACATAAAAGCATGCTTACCAAGAAACCTGCACGTTTCTACGGCAAAAGGACCCGTGCCGAGATCCTTCCCCTGCCATCCGAACTCCCCTGGCGGATGAGATTGTTCCTGCTTAAGGGTTAACCTTATCATAACCCACATCCTGGCTCTCAACCTTTACTCAAGTGAGAAAAGACTTGGGTTTGGCCTATGTAGTCTAAACTGGATTCGCCAATGCTTGTCATTGGTGTATATCCCTGCTCCTTTATGTAGTCCTCCGCACCATGCACCGTTTCTTGACTAGTCTCACCCTCAAATTCATCTTAAACGCTCCCAGCTCGTGGATATATAGCGTCATACGTATTGGAAAAACTCTCAATAAGGCAACCCTAACGGCGGTTTCTTAGTGATGGCTCGGCCGGGTTTCGGAATCACCTAAGGGCTGTAATTTACTATGAAGTTGCCGTCAGGTACCTATTTTACTGAAATATTTAAAATGTTAGATTAGTATGGAAACATGCCGCTAATCGCTAATTGTTAATAATTAATATAATATTATAATACGGATTACTATATCAATTAGACTCCACGAATAACTAGTATTAGAAAAGACATTGTTTTTATCAGCACGTACCTATTTCACGATGCTTCTAAAATGAAGTGGTATCAATTAATAGGAGCTATTCCCTCTCAATGAAGCTGAAAACAAGCATTCCATGGCTAGGCTAATAATCGCAACCCCCAAAGCAAGGAAAAATCAGGCCATGATCTTCATTAAGAGCGTAATGGTAGCCTCAAATTTGTTTCTTCGTCTTGCTCCTCCAATTAACATTGCGTAATTTGTAGTGTTGCGTTGTATTATTCCTTATGGATGGGAACTGGTGCATAATTCGTCGCACACTCGCAGAATTTAAGCTATGTATGTGACGTTATCGTCGTCACAAAAGCCTGTGACATCTAACGTTACAGATCCCTGCCCTGTCAAGTCGATCTCATGTAGAATCCCATCAGCGATTTTAACTACATAGATTCAGAATTAGAGTTATGAGATCTCTAAAGTTTCTTGTTGACCTCTATTCAGATGCTTGTTGCTGAGTCTGGTTCTGCTGGCCCTCGTAAAGGCCTGTGTAGTAGCCTGCATAATACCACGACATCAATAGTCTCTTGAGGCCCTCGTCACGCACTGCAATATAATCATTAGCATGACCGACTCCTTCGTATCCAGAGATACCCTCTTTCTAGAATTTCGACGGGGGACAAGGGTTAACATGAAGCTCACCTGAACCTAGCAGCCCTCCAGGACCGGAACCTCCACCAAGCGGGTGGCCATGCCGGGAAGTTGACGTTCCGCTGTCTTGTGTGCCATTCTATGTTTCGTTAGAATCTTGGGAGATCTGGGCCAAGCTTTATTGATCGTCTGGGATTCTCTCAAGGGTAGCCATTCAATAGGGTTGGGGTTATGACTTACAGGAACTCCGACTCCCATTTCGGAATCAGTTTCGAGGGAACGAGCCTTTTCAGTCTCGTCCTTGGCATCTGGAGTTATTCTTGAATGATCTTCATGTAAGCATACATATATGTGGATAAATGCCGTAACTGCACGATAAATCTATGTAGGGACTTGAGTGAGGTGCGAACTTACTCGTCGGACTTTAGAAGGTCTTCCACGTTGCCTCCATTCCTGTGGATACTATGATATTTCTAAACAATGGTAATTAGACATCGGCTCTTGTCAGTTCTAGAAAATGAAAACTTGGATACGTACCTCATATTCTTTTAGCGCGTCGTTCCACGAGTCTATGAGGGCCGAATCATCCCAAATCTCTTTATGGGACAATGGTTTCTTGGACGGAGCCATTCTGGATTCTGGGAGTTGAGAGACCTTTGGATTGATTGAAATGTCTCTAGTTTAGGTAATCAAGAGTGAATGGGAATCTATCGCAAAGACCTAGGAGTGAGATGTATGTCGTATGGCGCGCATAGAAAATGGGGTTTGGAGATGCTCTTCTTGTAGGTGGTTACCGGTTACCTGTTACCTGTTAGGGGGTGTTAACGTATGTAGATTTTGATTGCAGCCCAGACCTAAATCTGATTTTATATAGAAAGTTCCATATACCTTCAGAAGAAGTTCATTAACCCAGTTTATAAACACTTGAGGAACAGCTCTATAAACACACTTGCTGAGAGGTTGTAATATTCACCTTTCTCTCTCAGGTAGTAACTAATAAATGAATTCTAAAGCGGTTCCAAGTAAGCCTTGACGAATATTTAGGTACCTAACCAATGTAGCTAAGTACGTACTTTTTTTATCTGGAGAAAGTGGGGGGTTATCTGTTTCACCGCCAAAGCTCCAATGGCAGAATTGCAGCGCAAAGAAAAAAAGTTCGAACTTAATGCAGCACAGTAGAACAGCGCATTACACTTAGGTCTATATTGTCAACGATACAAACAAAATGGCGCCAGAACTCAGGAAGAGAAAATCTAAGGGTAGGATATTACAATTATCGGCTTTAGGTATTATTGGGCTAATGACATTTATTAGAAGCCGGCATATCGGCTGCGAAGCCTGCTGCAAAACCCGCCTTTAAAGGCAAGGCCGACACTCTAGCTACCAAACGAAAAGGTCAGTACGAAAAACACATAATCTTAGTTTCTGTCAGCTTATAAGAAATCTATAGCGGCCGATGATTCGAGCCCGATTGCGGCAAAGAAGTCCAAGTCGATAAAAGACGATAGCAAATTGAAGAAGGTCAACACAGATCGTTCAGTAAAGACGAAGCTCTCCAAATCCGCCAAAGAGAGCAAGAAAGACGAGAGTGAGGTCGCAAATGAAGACGAAGCCCTGCAGTCCTCAGATGATGAGCGCGATAACGCTCAGGCTCTTGCAAATATCGTGGATAGCGACGAAGAAGATTCTATAGTCGATACCAGTGCTCAGTTTCAAGAAGGACAAGACGTAGGCGAGATCCCGCAAGCATCCAAGGAACTGCTCAAATCCTCCAGCTCCAAGGATGGAGAACGTGGTGTTGTATATGTTGGCCGCCTCCCGCGTAAGTTAGTTCATCGACTGGCCCGTAACAGTGCTAATGGCGATGATAGATGGTTTCTACGAACATGAGATGCGGTCTTACTTTTCCCAATTCGGTAAAATTGAGAAATTACGAATGTCTAGAAACAAGAAGACAGGCGCTAGTAAACATTTCGCATTCATCGAATTCGCCTCCGCGCCGGTGGCAACAATTGTTTCAAAAACTATGGATAATTATCTGTTATTTGGCCGGATCCTGAAAGTTAAGGTTGTTCCTCAGTCACAGATTCATGACAACCTCTGGAAAGGTTCAAACAGACGCTTCAAGAAAGTACCATTAAACAAGATGGTCGGTAATCATCTGAAGAAGCCTTTAACCGAATCAACATGGTCGCAGAAGATCACCAAGGAAGAACAGAAGCGCAACCAACGCGCAAAGAAACTACAGGACATGGGTTATGATTTTGAGGGCCCTAAGATTAAGTCGGTTGACGAAGCAACCAGTGATCCTCCTGCGCTTGAAGGTGTTGATAGTGAGGTACCGAAAGCCATCGAGGCAGTACCTGGGACTGATGCAGCAGAGGCAAAACCGGCCGAGGAAGAAGCAAAAGAGGATAGCCATAATTCCCCCGAGGATGAGCTTGCTGTGAAGGAGCCAGCCAAGGCAAGCAAGAAGGGGAAGAAGAAGTCTTCAAAGACGAAGAAGGTAACTGCATAATGATTTCGAGGCGTTTTTTATACCTACTTAGTTTACTATAAATTTATGAGACCTTGTTATCGGGAAAGGTCTGCGCACTTTATCAGAAAAAAACCTGAATGTTGCGTGTATATTATGAATGGAAATATGCTTCTATTTTGATCATTTCCCGTTTTCATGCTCCACATACACCTTTTCATGAGAGAATGATATCTGCACATAGCGAACCCGCTGTACCCGTGGATTAAGTCAGGTAAACAGCAGGATTATAAAGGGCAATTTTCGCTCTACTTCGACCAGAAGGATGAATCAGCCATTAGAGCTCAATAGTTGAGCAAAGCAGCTTCGATTTCAAGAAGTTCTAGCGAAGGTGGTAAAATATGTGTAGAAGAAAGAAAAATTGGTAACTTCGGAATTTGGAAATCTTTGTATTATGAATAATTGACCAATCAAGTGACTCCCGTCGTAAGGACTGATTAGGTGGTCCGTGACATGACAAGCCACACCTTAATCAAAGCCATGAGCCACTTGGTGGGGGGCTTTTTAGAACGGAATTTTTAGGTCACGATTTCATGAAATGAGGATGAATCTTTCAATATACCTGACCTTTTTAGACTGACATTCTATAGAAATAATTCTGTGAATAGTCAAATTATTCTTACTACATAGAGTTAATAGATAATACTAAGAGGAATATTGAGATCGTTCGCTAAGCTAATCTCGTATTTGAGGACAAGCTCATACGAGGTGTGACAGGCTATCCTTCATCTACAACTCTTGGCCTCTTAGACGTCACATCGAGATGGTCTAGACTCTTGCAAGTGGTGAAGTTTTGGATAGCTGGGATCAAAGACAAGTCATGGCAAATATCAGTTTATATCTAATTTGCTTAGATGCATATTGGTAGTACTATAGGTTACCTAGGTACTATTACTGGCAACCTGTGCCTTGTATCGATAGGTACATATATCTATAAATCCGATCGTCAAGAGGCTCAATTGATAAATCCCCGCCGTTACAGTGGTTGGATAGTTAGAACGAGCCCTGTATTGTGGGACGCTAGCCAGCCTACAGGCTATGTACATAGCACCCTAGGTACCTAATTAATCAACTGTAATTTGATTCGTTACCTACCTACCTAAAATAACCACTGCACTGTAAGGTACCGGATGTATGTATTGTACAGGTACCAGGGGACTCAATAAACAGCAACGGCTTACGTGTGGATTGTGGACTGTGGACGTCGCAACGTCTAAACGTTTTTACATACCTACCAGGTAGTAAACGTCTCTTTGATTACTATTCGAGGGCTACCTACGATTGATGTTACCGTTTTATATCTTGAATCTTCACGAATGATTTCACCATGACTCCCACGGAGCCTTCGCAGCAGTTGAATACTGGTCGGTCGCTAAACATTCTTGTTGCTGTCTTGCAGTGTGATTACAATAACTAACATAATATTACATAGGTGCTAAGAAAAAGAATAACAAAAAGAAGAAGAATGCCGCAAAGCCAAAACCTCTCGAGGATGGAATTAAAGCCACAGATATAAACCAAGATGGAGTGCGTCCCGAGGATGACGGCAACGAATCCGACGAGCCAGAAACACCCGTGGCAGAAGTGAGCTTGACTAACTTCGAATCAAGTTTCTATAGTTGAGTGCTAATAAACTCGGCAGAATACACCAAAAGAATCCGCAAATGGCCATGCCACGTCGCCTACGACCAATGGACACCCTGCCCACGAATCAGTCGCGAATGAAACAACCGAATCCACAGACAGAAGCGCCCGGCTAGACGCTATAACACAAGAGCGTGAGGCTTTAAGAGCAGAGGTAGAGCAACTGCGAAAACAGCTCGAAGCCATACAAGAGACCCACGTCCAAGAAACAGCTCAGCTTAAATCAGACTTGGAAGAATCCGAAGCCGCGAAGGAGCAGGTTGAGGAGCAATACCAAACGCTCGTGGCCAGGGTCGAAAAGATCAAAGAGAACGTTGGTACCAGATTAGCAAGAGGAAAGGAAGAATTAGAAGAAGCAAATCAACGTATTGAAGAGTTAGAGGGACAAAATGAGGAGCTTCAAAAGGGTGCACAAAGTTTTGAAGATGAGATCGAAAAGCTCAAGACCGAATTGCAAGATGCGACAAGAGAACTGTCTAGCCTCCGCAGCAGAAACAACCTTTCTCAACACAACTCATTAAAGGAAAAGGAGGACCTGACGCGGCAGATACAACACTTAAGAGAAGAAGCGGAGGTGGCTAAGGATGCGATGGGCGACTGGGAAGTATTGGCCATAGAGGAACGATCAATCAGAGAGAACCTATCCGAGAAAGCTGCCGCCCTAGAAGAGCAACTATCAACACTAAGAGAAAGCTACGAGCGAATTATAACAGAGCGGGATAGCCAGTCTCAAGCTGTTGATAGTCTCCAGAGGGCACTTCAAGAAATCCAGGAGGCCCGCAAGAAAGAATTGCGTGAGATGGTTGAGACATCCGAGGAGCAACTTCAGGCGCTCAAGAGGCTCGTTCAAGAGGCGGACACAAGAGCAACTGAAGCAGAAAAGGTTAAAGAATCGTTACAAAAGGAGTTGGAACGAACTGCGCCCTTCGAGAAAGAGGTTAAAGAGAAGAACCTCCTCATTGGCAAGCTAAGACATGAAGCTATCATCCTAAATGATCACTTAACGAAAGCTCTTCGATACCTCAAGAAATCTAAGCCTGAGGACAGCATCGATAGGTTCGTTGGAACTTATTGTCTTAACCCCTATATATATATATATATATCACGGTTACTAACTTGACGTAGACAAATTGTTACGAACCACTTCCTTCAGTTCCTGGCCCTTGACCGTTCTGATCCCAAGAAGTTCCAGATCCTCCAGATCATTGCAGGACTCCTAAATTGGACAGACGAGCAGAGAGAACAGGCCGGACTGGCGAGGCCGGGAACTTCTACTAATAGTCTCCGCCTCCCTAGCTCTCCGTTCCACAGAACACCCAGTACGCCGTCTTTGAGCGCCGACTTCTTTTCAGATATGACACCAACTTCGGCCAGCAGAGAGTCCCTTGCCGACCTGTGGGCCGGATTCTTAGAACGGAGCGTGGAAGAGGCATCGCAAGCAGGAGGATCAAGGAAGGGCAGCATGTCGAGTATAGCTGGCACGACGAGGCCAGATACTCGAGGTACTTAATTAGGTAGCAAATACTACCCGTGTATCTGCGTTGCAATGCATTTTACTGTTTCGACTGCGGCTAGCTTTGATACAGGCACATAGCATACCATGCAGCATCTGATGGCGTTTGTCGGATACGGTTACGGTTCAAAGGAATAGCTCCAGTTAGTTCCTAGGGGGGAGGATAGGGTATTCAAATGGATCATTTGGATCTTAGCTATCAGCTACACCTTCGTATACCCAACTCTTTCTCCGAACAAGTGGCGGCTGCTTAATACGTATCAACTGCTTACCCACCTATAATGCTGAAATTACTACCCAGCCAGTCTGAATAGACATGTCGGTCTCAGATAGGCTTTGTTGAATTTAGATACGCATACCTTCCGTATTCTTCATATCACTCTAGACTCAGATTGATGTCTAAACCGAATTCTATTCCGTATTATCCATTTATGAGGCTCCATCTATGCAAGCTATCCCATCATCTACCTATCCCACAATGGTCTCCGGCGTAACCGCTTCCTCCATCCTCGGCAGCACGTTCAATGCGTAGGCATCAGCGTCTCTCGTAATATCGGCAATGTCAATACGATTCTGTAGCGCATCATTCACACCCTCGACTACCTCGCGCTCCTCCATGACTTCCTGCATCACTACACCCTCGTGGCGCCAGTACGCCTGGCTGCGTGCCCGTAGCTCCTCGTCCCGGTTCGCCGTGTTCTTAACTATCCCCACCGCATTCATCCGTCCCTTCGTCCCCTGCAGTTGCCGCGTCACGGCCTCTACACGTGCGGCGGCGCTCGGCGGGGCGACGAAGGCTCGGTTGGTGCTGGAGAGGTACAGCAAGTAAGCCAGGAGGAAGTCGAGGGAGGCGAGCCCGAGGTGTCGTGCCGTGCGCGAGGTCCAGAAGAAAGGGTCGATGTCGGCCAAGCGCGTGGCTCGCGCGTTCGCTTGGTAGTGGTACGAGTTGGCGAGGTATATATCGAGAGCGGCGCCGAGGCCGCTGGCTACGGCGGCAGTGGCGCGCCACTCGGGGCCGTAGGACCCGGATATGAGCTCGGAGGTTGCGAGGGAGGCGAGAACGAGGTTGACGAGATGCGGCGCGAGGAGCGCGGGAAGGGCGTAGTAGAAGTAGGAGCGGGGGTCGTCGGAGGTGCAGAAGGGACAGGTGGCTAGGACCTCGGGGCCGAATTGTAGGTACAGCAGCCTCGACTCGAGGTTTACGAAGCGCGCGCGCAGAGCGTCGTCGGCGACGGAGAGGGGGCGTAGAGACGCGAGACGGTTGAAGAGCACATCGGTTGGGATCTGCAGGCGCGACTGCGTGCGCACGAAGACGTTCTCGGGAGAGAAGAGCGGAAGGGCGCCGAAGAGCAGGACGAGACCGACTACGACGAGCGCAAAGATGGCGCGGAGAGCTTGCGGCGGCACCGGCTGTATCGAGACGCCGGCGGCGCGGGGCGCATTGCGGACGGAGCGGTAGTAGCTTACGGCCTTGGGTAGGAGCATAGGTCCGAAGAATATGAGGAGGGATTTTATCCTGAAGGTAAGCGTATAATATTAGCTTCTATATCCCGAGCGAGGTAGAGCAGAAACCTATATAAGGGAACTTTTCTTTCGGCTGGTAGTGTAGGTAAGTAAACTCACGTTCCCCAGGGAATCGCCATTGTGTCTTTTGCTCTCCAGCTAGTTAGCTAACCTAGATATATCCTGACCATTCCGCCAGTATGTATGTATATGCGGTAGCTACCTGAAGTTCTGTATAAAATCAAAGGAACCTATTTCGTTTGTTCAAAAGGCTAGCTTGGCCAGATGATATGTACATGAACTGGACCTCAAGTCAGCCTTTGATGTCAGTGTGTTAGGTTAGGTTAGGTACGTTAGTGTGTCTCTACACTATTAAAGAATGGATGTATGTTGTCACAGCTGGAGGTGTTTGTACTTGTACATGACGCATTCAATCAGGACAGACAATACATCCCGATGTACCTGTGTACATAAGGAACTATAGGTACCTATGTACCTAGTGAGTGTGAGCTTTTGATAGGTCCGTGGCCTTCGTATCCACTTCTTTATTTCTCTTCAAATTTTGTGGTGCACTTAGAAATTTTGTATTCTTCTTTTCCTCAACTCTCTTTGATACAGAACATGCGAGTTATAGGAGCGCATCTGAACTGGATTTGAGGATTAGGCCTATGAAGTAGACGATGCGGTATATATATATATATGCTGTATATCGTTTATTATATTGGTTTAGAAGATGCGAGTAACCGGGACGACTATGTCTTCAATCTTGCATCTTCATATGATGATTCAAGGTAAGAGAACCATGATGTATTATTATTAATGGCACTTTCGAAGCTTTAACGATCTTTTCCTCCATGGTCGTCAGAGTCAATATGCTGCCTAGAGCGACCCAAAGTACTCTGCCAAGAGTCATCTCAATCGTGTTACAGAGTTCCTAGCATTCTGCGATGAAAAACTCTGCGTCAAATTTTAGATGAGAGACATATCCCATATCTATTAGTCGATTAAGCAATACCTAGCCCATACGCAACGTAACCTAACCTAACCTCTATGTATCCCGGATAATCATGAATCCTTCTTAGCCTTTGCTCCTTGTGATTTTGGTATGGGACCCTTCTCTACGGTCACCTTGACTGGTTGTTGCTCTGCGATGTTTGCACCTAGTGCCAATCCCAGGATCGCCGTAACGGTATCGCTCACCAACAAGACTATCCCGGCACAGGCTACCTGCCACGATGCGATACTAACGCTGCCTACGGGGGCTCGTGGGAAGGACAAAATCCACTCGGCGTAGTATGGGAACCAGCCGTGAGGGAGCCAGAACATGGGCTGCTTTGCGTACCAGAAAGGGAGGAGGAACTTCAACCCCGATGTCGCTAACCAACGTAGAATGTTGATGGTACTGTCGAATCTTGATTTGGCGCTTTCGTGCGAGGTTTCTTGAAACATAAATCGGTCAACTTCTTCTCCTATTATCCATATCCATCTCTCGTATGCTTGGGGGGAAACGAACTCATCTTCTCCAGCTGTTCCATCAGCTTATCATGTTGCCGTCGGAGCTTTGCCCATTTCGCAAACTGGTCCTGGCTGCTCGTAGCATTCAGGTCGCGGCGGATCGTAAGATATTCCTTTTGTAGCGTCTTCTTTTCCGCCGTCTGCTTTGAGATTTCGGTCGGGAAAGCTAGATATAGGCTCCATAACTATATCGCGGTTAGCCATTGATATAATGCTACCTTGGCATGTTCGGAGAATTATCCTACTAGATTATTTATTGTCGCGGCGCCGACAGTGTTCACAAGGTGAACACCGAGCTCGACTAGGAATACCAGTAGCAGTACAGATATCATTTCGTCTCGAGCACTGCTTCGCTTGTGTTAGAAGGATACGTCACAGCGGACAAGTTTGGCATAATACCTAAAGAGGTAACCTTAGAAAGCTTTAAATTCGTGGCCTATCCGATATGTGGCCTTAAAACTTATGCTGGTTAGATAAATGCGTTACTAAGACAAAACATTGATTTATAAGTATTATCTGCTTAAAGCATATTACCCCACTACCAAGATCACAAGGTCCGTCTCCTCCCACTTTTATTTTATATTCGCTGTCCCATCTTATGTATGTATCACCTGGTATCCAGCTTCTAGAACTATGGAATAATTTACTAAGTTAGGTATCATTTACTTATGTACTATGGTATTTGATATTTAAGGCTGCATAAATGGTTACCATATAACCCACATACCCCTTTACCCTACGAAGCCATTCTATGGCTGGCTAACAGTGGCTCACATTCGCAATGTCCCGCTCGCTAGATAAAGATCTTCTAGTTCACTTAGAAGCTGATGATCCAAATGAGGTGTATAACGACATCTCTACGATCCTCACGAAGCTACCGGGAAATGAATTGCTAGAGATCGAATTTCTTGGGAAAAGCCATCCTCTACAACCAGGGGTCAACTACCTTAGAGATGGCACGGCTGTCGCAATTCCTAAGCTCAGGCTAGTTCAAGCATTTTTCATTGCACGCCAGTTGCTGCAGGCTTATCATGAGGAGAGTACAGTAAGCCGCAGCGAAGTGATGGCTGCAACAGCTGTATTGCTGCTTATGGACCCCGAACATCTGACAGCCGCTAATACCCGGAAACGACTGCTCATATTGTCACTAGAAACTGGCCAGGCAGATGAGTTGGCATTAAGACGAGAGAAGCAGTTTGTGGACAGCCTTCTCACGTCAAGGCTGTATCGGCATGCCAAATCACCTACCCTCTGGTCACATCGTCGCTGGTTACTCCACCTATATACAATTCACGGCGTAGTCGTGGACCTACAGCACGATATCAAGAATATTGTCATGATAGCGGGAATCCGGCATCCTCGCAACTATCCTGCCTGGCATCACGCTCGGCTTTTAGTGGATCGTGATCCGGGACTGGCTGAATCTATAGTTACTGATGTTAAAGAGTTCTGCTTGAAAAATCATACCGATATTTCTAGTTGGAGTTTTCTCGTCTATATCATTGGCAGGATTGAAGACAAAGAAACCCGCAGCACAGTCTATTCTTCCGTTTTCACAGAAGTCCTTGATATCACTAGCTCGTTGCGCTGGATAAGCGAGTCTGTCTGGACATTTCTGCGCGACATAGCGACGGTGGAATTCATTAGTGACCAACAATTCGAGTCATTTTTGGCCGTAAATAAGAGGCTCGCTTCCACAACGCCGGAGAGCAGTAGTCAGCGAAGAACACTGGATAGCGCACAACGTTGGTGCAAAAAGTATCGCCCTCTAACGGGGTCCAAAATGGCGGAATGAGTCTGAATTGGTCCAGCAAAGCTACCAGCCAGCCGTTGGGAGGAAAAAACATAGTTGGCTCAGTATTGACGCTGTCAGCAACTCATTACTTGGGCGACCGAACACCTAAGAATAGAAAACCAAGTGACTAAAACGACCAGTCTAGATGTTATATGCCCTTTGCTTCCTTCTCGCCCTTACTTCCATACCTCCTTCTCGTAATGGACGAAAGAGGATGGACGTCTGCTTCAAGTTGAGGCTCATCAGTTGCACATACATAGCTTATCCGGATGGCGGCTGAGGAAGGCCTTTGTACGTACCGAATAACTAAGACGTGACTCCTGATAGGTCCAAAATTTGTGGTAGGCTGACGCAGGGGCTTAGTTCTGCTACAACGTGGACGGCACAAGACGCTTCGTCCTATAATTATCCCGTCACCTTACATTTTGGGTACCAAACTGCCAACCTCAGAAATCTGTTACTTCTTGGCCGTGATCGAAATCCGATCCTCCTGTAAGGGTTGACAGAGATCTGGGTTTCCAACCGCCATACTACGAAGTGGCTGAAAGCCTCTTGAGCTTACGGGAATTTTAAGCGGCCGATAAGAATTGTAATGACGGCTTGGTGCTAGTAACGCCAAGCGCTGGCCTCTACCACATTTGCATCTGACTCGGTTGCCTCGTGTCGACCAAAACTAGTCTCACCTTGACGCCAAACATTTCAGACCTATTTTCTATTCCGACGTACGTAATCTTGACTTATGTATGTACCTTATCAAATTCTCCCCCCAGGCTAGGTCGCTTGAGTACCCTGACCGTCCTGGTTAACTCGTGTGGGCCTCAATTGACGGCCAATATGAGATTTGAATACATACTAGATTAGCAAAGACACGATCCGTGGATATGATTTCTTATGTCAAGGATCTCCAGGCTCAAGCGTCTTCTTGGCTGCTCATCAGTACCCATTTAGTTCGAACTCCACATGGGGCCACTGAGGTGGATCCCTGCAAGCAATCTATGTCTATCCTTAAGCGTTGTATAGAATATGGGGTTTGTATGTATCGCCGAGGTCGTATCATACATATTACATACTGTAGGCTCTGTTATCAGCCATTCTTCCAAAAGCCAAGCAACCAAGTGGCGCCAGTTATGCTACTAACAACTCAAGCACTCGAATGCTCGTTTACGAGGTAGTCTTCTAATTCTGTTGTGGCAGAGCCAGAAGGGATACAGCTCAAAACATCGAAAAGAGGCCTCGAGGCTGCAAAAAAAAAAAACCGTAGCTTCACGACCGCTTTGCGCCGCAAACAAAAGACTCTATTAGAGACGGACCAATCATCAGCCAATTCAAAGGGAGACCCAATTTCCTAAGCAGATCACTATAATAAGAAACTACTTTACAGGTACTTGGACAACGCCATAGCTGCATGACATTCCAAGGTCATCTTTAAGTAGATTAAAAGCCGTGCACCCACAAATGGCGCTATCTCTGCTTAGCCCCTGGCCAGCAGGGGTTCTCCCTTGAGCCTTCGTGCTAATCCGATTGATCATTTTGAGATAGATACGGAGAGAAATGGAAGAAATGGACAGCTTCGGCTACCTGACAGCCGAACAAACAACGTACCAGACCTCGTAGTCTATCCCGCAGTCTAACGCTATGTATCCTCATCTACTACTATGTATGTAGAGAGCCAACCAACAGGAAGGCCAAGATACTGGGCCTGATGACTGCAGGGGTTGAGGGGGGGGATCGTTGGAATCGTTAACTTTCCTTCCTCCTCCGTCTTTGCCGACCTCCACTGGGTATTCACACTTTCTTACCTTCTCCACAGCCATCTGATATCTGCTTTTTTCTATTGTTGGCGTGTGTCGTCGTCTTTGTTTCACTGCCACATACCCGATCGTTTTGGTGTACACTCTTTTCGTTGAAATAGACCGGGGCGGCCTGGTTGGAATTCTCTACTTGTCTTATTTATCAATCGTGTTTCTCCCGGCGGCGCACTTGTTTTGGAATCCATATCGACATATCGAATACTCCTACGAAACCCTACGTGCCTTGTATCTACTCTCCACGGACAACCTCCTCTTTCTGGCTTTCCCGGCCAATTTGTTTTTTTCTTAGATCTCTGGTTTATCAACGACACTCTCTTAATATCTAATACTATAATATCTAGACCAGAGAGTCTGGTACTCTTGAGCTGTGAATCGCCAGAGTATACCACTTTGAGGACCCAATTGACCCCATAGCATTTTGGTTCCGCTTCTAGCAAGCTTTCTCTACCTAAATCGGCTACGCGGTATTGGATCCGAATGTATGTGACGGCGTAATTTGCTATCGTTCAACTACAGCAACCGACCCAGACCGGAAACCGAGGCACTTGGTCATTAGAGTCGGGAGAGAGCGTTGCAGAACTCTTCAACATGCATCAGAGCAAGTTATCACTGCAGCTCCTGCTATGGAGTACCGCTCTTGTCCAGGGTCTCCCTACAGACGAAAAGTCCAACAGCCATGACAGTTTAGAGAACCGAGAGGCTCCCAACAACATTGGATTCGTCACGTTTAATTCGAAAGCCCATGGCAATCTAAAGCGAGATGCTCCTAGCGACTCCAACCCGCAACTTGGGTTTGTAACATTTAAGATGAGCTCGAAACAAACAGTTGTATGTTAAGCCCGTGGTCGCAAAGTTTAGGTATGTGCTAACAGGTAGCTCTATATAGTCCAGAGACAGCCACACAGACAAACTCTCAAGAGTTACTCAGAGCCTAGCAGCTAAGTACGGGTCCAATGTGCCCACTCGTTCCACATCTGAGGATCCAGCTCTGCGTAATCGAGACAACAACTACCATGTAGATCCCGCCGTCAAGCCCTCGGTCAGCAACGCTGCGGGAATCGATCAGGACGGGACGGACTACTCGTACTTTCTCGAGGCTGCCTTTGGCTCTGAAGGGAAGAAGATGTACATGCTTGTCGATACTGGTGCTAGTACAACGTGGGTTATGGGCTCGGGTTGTGTCACTACCGCATGTGCCAAGCATAATACATACGGACCAAATGATTCCAAAACGTACAAGGACACCGAAGAAGGCTACTCAGTCGAGTATGGTTCCGGAGCAGTGAGTGGGCACGTTGTCTCTGACAGTATCAGCATCGCGGGGTTGGAGGTGACAATGCCCTTTGGCGTTGCCAATATCACTTCAGACCAATTTTCCCAGTTCCCCTTCGAGGGCATCTTGGGGCTGTCCATGGTCGACGGCACGTGGCTTACCCATCTCAAGGACGCCAAGCTGATCGATGCCAATGTGTTTGGAATTGCGTTGAACAGGAAGGCGGATGGCACTAACGACGGGGAGGTGGCTTTTGGTGCGCCGAACAAGGCCAAGTACACGGGTGACATATCATACACTGGCCTCCAGTCTGAAGATAGTTGGGCTATCCCGATGGACGATGTGCTGTTTGGTGGCAACTCAGCTGGAGTGAAGGGCAGACTTGCCTATATCGACACCGGCACCACCTTTGTTTTCGGTCCCCCTGCCGATGTTGCGGCTCTGTACAAGCTGATCCCTGGTTCCAAGACTATCGACAACGGCAAGACCTATACTGTTCCGTGTGATACCGACGGTGAAGTCGCATTCTCTTTTTCTGGAAAGGCTTACACAGCCTCTTCAAGGGACTTTATAACTGCTCCTAATACTGGTGGAACTTGCTTCGGCAGCGTGTATGGATTTGAATTTATACCTGGCGCTTGGCTTGTTGGAGATATGTTCCTGAAGAATGTCTACAGCGTGTTCGATATGGACCAAAAACGAATCGGTAAGTTTGAAAAGGCATATTATGGGTATATCGATCGAGACTAACTAAAAGCATAGGATTCGCCGCTAGGGCAGCTTCCAGCAGCAGTACCAGCAGCAGTGCAACCCCCAGTGGAACGTCAACAACATCTCCAAGTGGTTCGTCGACTCTTGGATCGGCTACCGCAACGGCTACATCAGATGGCTCCAGCCCAACGGGTTCTCCTTCAGTCGGTTCTGGGGTTGGCCTCGTTCCCGAAGGTACGGCAGCCGCAGGCTCGGGCACGAGCAGTTCGCCAACAGAGTCCGCACCGGGCAGCACGCCCACCACGGACTCTTCGGGGGTGAGGTTAAGCGCAGTGGGCGTATATACGTCCTTGATGTGTATCCTATTAATGGGCATGATTTTGTAGGCATGAGGTATCTTGGGATCTTAATTGTCTCGCATTTGCATATATACTACGGGCTGCTTTGCTAAAGCAGATGACAATCCTTCATTACGGCATACGTACCATTTGGATAGAAAGGGGTTACTAGGTTTTTGGATACCTACATAACTAAGAGCATATTTTAGTAGTTAGAGGAAAAGTATACGATCATTTGATACCCAGGGCGGGTGAGGAACGAAAGAGTCAGCAGCCTAACGCCGGCATACAACCCCAAAATACGCTGTTAGGTATTATATTTATAATTATATAATAGACAGTGAAAAATTCAATTCTAGAAGCTGCCACTATTTGTTATGTAACCTAGGCCGTTGTATGTGATAATGATGCCGTCCTAAGAATTCTCTCCTGAAGATGGTCGCTGCGTACATGTAGGAAACAAAACGTACCTACATGTAGGTAGGAAACGAAACGTTGAAACAGGGACCTAACCTATGTACCTACGTAATAGTACCTAGGTACAAGTCCCTGACCATGCACTTAATATCGGACCGACCTTAATACATAAAGTTGAAGCTTAGGGAAGGTAGGGCCCATATAATAGACCCAGACAACAGGGACTTGGAGTGGCTGAATAAGGGGTCTTGCTCACAAGCTTTGGAACCAATTAGAATCCCCTGCATTAGCACATAACGGGTACATAGTGTATGTACATCCTCAAGGTATACTACCTAGTACGTACAGTACGTACCTTTTATCACATGATGATAAGAAAGAAATCCGTAATCCGTAATCCGTAATCGTTTCATTGACACTGGCCTCGACTCGACGAGGCGCGGCTCAACTTGAGATCCGTTACCAGCACATCTATTGCATTCTGCATTCGCTACTAACAAAATCAGCCCGTTATTGAGGACGGATACGATTTCTTCCTTGCAAGGATGCCGCCGTGATAACACAATGGCCAAGGCCACGACTCACAGCTCTAATAGAGAGCAAACGCGCAGCACGAATTCAACCGAAGCTCCCGCAAACGAAGAGCAGCATGGTCTGCTAGCAGGAACCGCTTCTGATGAAGATGAGGACGAGGAAGAGGACGAGAACGAGAACGACATCATAGCATATCCAAACAACGGTGACCTCGACGCTCCTCCTAGTTCCATTCGCACTCCGGGCACTCCAAGAACCCCTAATCGAGTCCGGTTTGATCTAAGACCTACTAATATTCCACCTCCTGCGAACGGCCATGATCGTCCAGCCTCACCCGTTGATTACTTCGACATTGTCGACCCCGATAGCCCTACCTACGACGATTCAACATCAAGGCACCCCTTGCTAACCGACATCGAAGCTCCCTCTGTGACCCTAGCCAACAGCCTCGACGATGACGTCCACGAGTGGGCCGAACGAGAACGGACGAGGCCCAAATCTGGGATGCGCTCTGCGTTTATGAATATGGCGAATAGTATTATAGGCGCCGGCATTATCGGACAGCCCTACGCATTCAAGGACGCCGGTCTAGTGGCGGGCATCGTATTGCTTATCAGTCTAACCATCATCGTCGACTGGACCATTCGTCTGATCGTCATCAACAGTAAACTAAGCGGCGCGAACAGCTTTCAGGGCACAGTCGAGCACTGCTTTGGCAAACCGGGACTGGTTGCCATAAGCGTTGCGCAATGGGCTTTCGCGTTCGGCGGCATGGTTGCCTTTGGAATCATTGTTGGCGATTCGATACCACAGGTTCTACGCACGATATGGCCGGGCTTGAGCAGCACACCCGTGTTATGGCTCCTCGCAGACCGCAGAGCGGTTATTTGTTTCTTCATACTTGGAATAAGTTACCCGTTGACGTTATATAGAGATATTGCAAAGGTAAGCCCGTTACAGTGTGAGGGAAATCAGTCTGATCGACCGGCTAAAAATGACGATAGCTCGCCAAAGCAAGCACATTCGCTTTGATCAGCATGGGTGTCATCTTAGTTACCGTCGTCGTCCAAAGCGTTCTTACTCCCGCGGAAAACCGCGGCTCTTTTACCTTGCCGTTACTCACGATAAATGATGGCATATTTCAGGCTGTTGGCGTTATTTCTTTTGGTATGTGCGCTTCGTCAATCAAGTTTTCATTTCAAACAAACGGAGCATTTACAAGGTACCTAGCTAACGAAAGCTACATAGCATTCGTCTGTCAACATAATTCTCTCCTAATATACGGCTCCCTAAAGACACCAACAATAGACCGGTTTGCAAAGGTGACTCACTACTCTACGGGCATCTCCATGCTGGCGTGTATGACTATGGCCCTCGCAGGCTTCCTTACCTTCGGAGATAAGACGCTCGGAAACGTGCTGAACAACTTCCCGGCCGATAATACGATGGTGACGATCGCGCGGCTTTGTTTCGGGTTGAACATGCTCACGACGCTACCGCTAGAGGCGTTCGTCTGTCGGGAGGTCATGATGAACTATTGGTTTCCTAACGAGCCTTTCAATATGAACCTGCACCTGATCTTCAGCTCTGCATTGGTCGTCTCGGCCATGATGCTAAGTCTGCTGACGTGCAATCTCGGGGTCGTATTCGAACTCGTTGGTGCGACGAGCGCCTGCGCGCTGGCGTATATCTTGCCGCCGCTGTGTTATATCAAGTTGAGTTCAAGGTCGTGGAAGACGTACGTCGCCATGGGCATCGTGGCGTTTGGGTGTTCGGTCATGGTTATCAGCATGTTCCAAGCCATTGGCAAGATGATCAAAGGTTAGTTTAGCTGCCGACGTGGCTACCCGTCTTTATCCGTACTTGAGCTGACTTATATCTTTTTTTCTTTTTTTCGCAGGCGGGGGCGAACCATCCCAGTGCGTCTAAGGCTATGGGATTTGACCTTGGCCTCGTCCTTGGCCTTGTATATTATTCATACACGTAATGCGAAGCTCCTTTGGGGCTTGGAGTAAAGAGAGGCAAACTGCATATTGCATACAGCAGCCCGCTATTTAATAACGCCAGTCCCCCCAGTCGGCATCGAAACGGTCGCGCGATGGTGGTTGAATCATCGGGCAACGCCACCGACGGCAGCCGTACCAGACGGAGGAGTTTATTATGATTTGAGGGTGTTCCAGGCTCTAGGGCGTGGAGGGGGATGCGCCTATGTGCAGCTCTCCACCTCGGTTGTCCTGCAGGTGCACATACATACCTAGACATGGAATAGTAGTAGGAGGGGGGGTGGTATGCGTGTGTGCGTGTGCGTGTGTGTATGTGTGTATGGGTGGGTGGGTTGTATATATCGCTTATCGCGGGACGATGTGTTTTGGTTGGTTCAGCTGGTTTAGCTGGGTTTAACGCGGCACTTTGCAGTTTACTTTCTAGGCCAGTCACAGATGGATTGATGGATGAGCACATGCACGATTGATTAGATAGTAAGTCGGCGTCTGGATGGCTGGGATGGCTGGGATGGCTGGACGGGTCGATGCAAAGAACCACTTTAAGACAAGGCCGAAGCCGTTTTACCCACGCCAACGCATACACATACACATACACACATACACATCTCTTATACACCACATATCTTACAATACATATATACTATAACTATACCTATACCTATAATTATACATATACATATATATACCTAACATACACAGTATGTTTCCTAGTATGTACATAATATATCGCATATCTTACACACCAGCAAACGTTCAAGTCTATTAGTCCTAGGCGAATTCCGTTACCGTATAGCAGCACATCGATCTCTTTTCTCTATTCTCCATCTCTCTTTTCCTCCTCCACGTACGGCTTATAGCTTACGCGCTACCCCAACTCTAGTAACCCGCGCGGAGAGCAAGCAGCTGACCTATCGATGCCGCTCCCCATTAGGAAGGCTCCCACTGGCTCCCACTGGCTCCCACGTCGAGCAGGATCCGTGACCCGTGACTTGGCTAACTAGTCACGATCTTCTATGTAGATAGGTGATATGTTCATATGATGCTCGGAGTGTAATATCTAGCGTGTGATAGGGTGTACGTATGTAGCTAGACAGGTAGGGGTAGGGATAAGGCAAAGACGGGACGGGATAGAAGAGAAGACCGAAAGAAAGATGGCATTCAGAAACAGGAATCATACATATACATACATACATACATACATACATACATACATACATACATACATACATACATACATACAGTATCGTATACAACTACAACTACACACTACACACTACACACTACACACTTATACATCACACGCTTATACACACTGCGTTAGCTACAGGTAAGCCTTCTCTATGCTTGTCTCCGATCACACCGAACCCCGCTTGCCAACTTATACATAAAAGCTCCAGAGACGAGACCCTTTCGATAATCCAGCTAGTCCCCTTTTTTGTCCTCTTATCCACCGCCTTAAATACCCAGTCCACCCGTCGCTCGTCACTCGTCACTCGTCACCCGTTCCATCACGCCACAGTCAAAAGAGAAGCTTGAAACCAAATTACCACCATCAGCTTTCCATATCCCCATCTGTCGTGAGTATAACACTACCTACTTGCCCTCGTCCCCCCTTTCGTGCTGCGTGACGACTCATCGACCCTCAAGGCCAGCAAGCGCCTAAGGATCAACTGTCGTCATACCAACCTCTCTACCTTGTCTACCCGCCTGTCTTGCACATCTATACATACATGCCTATCTACATATATATCTGCCTAGGCATCTCCGTCCCTCCTCGTCGTAAGGCGCGAGACAGAGCCGAGCTTAGCTTAGCTTAGCTTTATATGCTTACCTACTCCCCCCTTATCCAACATACCAGCCAAGACCCAGCTAACAGCAACGTAGCAAACAGATCCATACTCGCCCATTATATCACCAAGGACGTATCCGCTCCTCCTCCACCAGCCAAAATGCACGCCTCATCTTGCCCCAAGTGCGGTGTCACCTTCAACGGCGACACCAAGAAGTGCGATTCCTGCGGTGCCGTAAGTCGAAGCTCTTTCTTTCTCACAACCCTCATGCGTATATACACACACAGACAGACATGTATACGCATATTAGTACTACCCTTTTAGCCCCCCCCCCCCCCCTTCGCATCCCAACTCAAGCTTCGAACCCCAAGCTAACAAACACCATCTCCAGACCTGCCCCGTGTAAACACAACCACCGCATCTCCATCCATGAAGACGTAGGAGTACCCAAGGGGGAGGAGGGGCTAAGGGAGTTTCCGCGGCGCCGCAATGCCACCGACCACCCCGCCCCGCCCTATCCCGTCCCAACCTACTAGACCACTCGTTTCGTTTCTTTTTCCACCGGTATTCGGCGTAGATAGGGGGGCAGGGCAGAGCAGGGCAGGGCAAGGCCAAGGTCAAAGGGGAAGGAAGGAGTTTGCTGTACAATGAGATGTTCCAGGGCGACACGGGGTCCAGAACCGGTCTCCCCCCCCCTTTTTTTTTTTCCTCTCTTCTTTTTTAATTTACGACGGCATCAGAATAGGGGCAAGGACGGCGGGCGGGCTCGACAGGTTTTCTTCTTTCTAATGCAGTCAGTCAGACGAACCGGACTAAACAAACGAGAGGAGTGTGTTATTCTGAAAGGGCGAGGCGGTCAGATACAAATACAAATACAGATACAGATCCAGATCCAGATCCAGAAAGAAAGAGAGACGGAAGCACACGTTGGCGAGTATTTTACTTCGGCCTCTACGGCAAAGCAAACTAACTTACTACCAATCTTACCTGCCTATTACCATAAGCCCTTAAATTCATGTCAGGGCGTAGTGTGCATGAAATACCCAAGTGCCCACGGACTCTACTCCTGCCTCCCCTATTGGACGGATATGCTATGTAGTAGAAGTAAGCAACAATCACATGTCTACTGTGTTATCGTGAACAGCACCAGTAGATAACATTCCGACCTCATGATGAAACCATGTGCCGAGTACATCGATAAGTATCCCTTTCAAATATCACAACATACCACTGTTGTATCCTATTATACTATTATGAGCATCTTGAATTAGTCCATACTGTCCCTCATTTACTACAGGCTACAGGTCAAGGCTAGTACTATAAAACCTCGTGGGCGTAGTCCTACAACTTCAGTCGTCCATGGAACATCACAAGCCTCCTAGGACCAATAATCTACGAACGGCAGCACAACAGTTACAAGACGCATGTGGAGAACCAGGCAGGGCATGACGATTAGTAAGGAGTATGATTGGGAAAAAAAGACAGGTAGAAAGAGTAGCCCCTGCGCAACAAATGTCCGTCTCCCGGTTGGCCTGACGCGGGAATTACCAAGAGCAGTAAAAAGGAGAAGATTTATGATATAGCCGTATTCTCTGGGGTTGTCTCGCCAATCTTGACACACATACCACACGCACAACACACCACCCACATCTCTCTAACGGCAATACATTGCCCATCCCCCCTTTCTCGAACCATGGGAATTCAAATACAACGATACCCGCTACCCCGTCACCAATATACTCCCTTTGTAATATGGGAGACACGCAAGAGTTGACCTGAGTTGCACGCCCTTCGAAGCAGTTAAAACGGGAGGACGAATCAAACTCCAGTCGAGATTAGGACGCACAGGCGGTCCAACCCTCCCCAGTCCGTCCAAAACCCTTATTCATCTGTATATCTCGTCCGTGAGACGAACCTAGGACGATGATGGATCATGACGGTATGTCGAAGGTATCATAAAGATGTTGTACATTTCTTAAAGGACTAAGCACTTGGAGTGCTTCTTCTGGCTTTTGCGAGACAGCAGAGCCGCGCGAGTAGCGTGCTCGAAAACTTCTCGGACACCTTCATTCGTCTTGGCTGAGCACTCAAGGTACTTGTAAGCACCAATCTTCTTGCGAATGTCCTCACCCTGTAGCAATATTAGCGGTTACAAATCAAACAAAGAGTCAAGCTGAGCTCGGAGATAGATATCCCACGTGTTTCCAAACACCGAGGTTAAATAATGAGCTTGCGATGATAATGATAACTTACCTCCTCAGGGGAGACAGGCTTCTGGCTAGTCTTGCGGAGCTCCTCAATTGTCTTTGCGTCGTAGCGCAGATCCTTCTTGCAGCCAACGAGGATGATAGGCAGGCCTTGGCAGAAGTGAAGGACTTCAGAAATCCACTATCGAATAGAGCACGTGTCAATAAATTGCTTATCTAGGAAGCATGAGACAACCGGTATGAGATGCGGGAATGCTAACCTTCTCCTGAACGTTGTCCAGAGAATCGGGCGAGTCGACAGCAAAGCAGATTAGGATAACGTGAGAGTCAGGGTAGGACAAAGGTCGAAGACGGTCGTAGTCTTCCTGACCAGCCGTATCCCATAAGGCTAACTCGACGTGCTTTCCATCAACCTCGACATCGGCGACGTAGTTCTCGAAAACGGTAGGGACATAGACCTATTCAAAAATAAAAGGACAGTTTGTCAGCATTGTGCACAGCAGCCTATTGATTATTTATTGGGACGCGATAGATGCTTATGATTGCATCAATGGGCGACGAGGCAATAGCTCGGAGGATGGATTGACGAGACCGACAACCCTTTGTTTCGGTATGACGCGGGCGGATGTTGAATAGAAGGAGGAAAGGCAATGGTGATGACGAGGCAGCTATTCTCTTACCTCAGGGAACGTTCCCTTGGAGAAAACGCTATAGTTGAATTAGCACGATGGCAGAGACGGGTTTGTTTTGATAAGCGACGTACATCAATAAACAAGTTTTACCACAGGCACCGTCACCGACGATGACCAGCTTTCGGCGGAGCTCAGCCATGTTTGGGGAAGAAGATGGTCGGATTTAGGGGGGGCAGAGAAAAGGAACGGGCTTTGCTCAAGGGTATTTGAGAGAATATGCAAGAAGAGAAAAGAGAGGTCAAAAGTCTTGATGGAATGAATCCTCGAGATTGTTCGTTATGGTTTCTCCCTTGGAGGTTTGGATGATGAAAGAAGATGGAGGAGATTAGAGATGGAGAATGTGAGAAGGAGGAAAGGTTGGAAGATTGGAAGGTCGTTGCTCAATTGATAGCGGTAGCACCAGCAAGGTAGGATAAGGCAGGCAGGCACTACAGTACATAACGTAGGTAACTTTTGCTCCAGGTACCTAACATAACCAGGTAGACCAGGTAGCAGCACCAGCGCCAAAGCAACAGGAAGTAGCGGGTCAAATCACCAAATAAGGGACAATTGGGGACAACCTACCTAGCACAGAGAGGCACAAGACAAAAAGGACAGGGTTTAGTGGGGCTTGTTCAATAGTTAAGGGTTTTGTAGGCAGGTTTTGGTGGTCGTCCTTAGTGGCTTACACTGCTAAAACTCTGCTAAGTCCTTGAAAAACAAAAACAAATGCGTACAAATACAAATACATGCAAAGAGGTACCCAGCACTGCGTAGGTACTGTAGGTAGGTACTCATTGTACAATACATTTCCATATGCCCGTTTCTGCTCTCGCACTGGCCTGACTGGCCTGACTGGCCTGACTGGCCGGCTTTTGCTTTCCACTTTCCGTCCCAATCCCCAATCCGAAAGTACTTATTTGTACATGCATCCATCATGTGCCCTATGACCTTGGGAGGTACATAATGCGTCGTCCTTATGAGTCGTCCCTAAAAAGTCCTTTGGCCCTTGCGCCTCGGATCTCGAGGAGGCAACCCACCAAAACACACACCATTCAAGACTGGTTAAGGTACCTAAGGTCCTTGTACCAAGCCACGACACCGTCTTACAGCATTGAAGATATTCCATGCATGTGGACTATGGACTGTTCTTAGCGGGCCTGTGCGCAGCGTCCTGCATTTGAAGCTCATGCTATGTATGTATGCCATGCTATTGCTATGCTACATATGAGACTCACTTATACGTAAGCAATTCTCTAACCTACAATATCATGTATGTATTGATCTACTAACATAGATACAATCCAATGCGAAGACTTACCTATCTACCTGCGTCGAAAAGGTCCTCGGAGATACTACTGAGCTACTGAGGTCATCGAGGTGGATAAAAGGCAAATGTAGCATTCGGGCGCAGCAAAAGTCATAGGTAGGTATATCACACACTACGAGAAACAGACGGCACGGCTTTCTCATACATACAGTCATATCTCACAAATATAAAACCACTAAGGCTTATGATAAGTTTGATAAGTTGGACATATGCTGACTCAGAAGTGTTGATATTGAACATCTGAAGTTCAATACTTTTAATACTTGGAGTATTAATGTATTACTGTATGGATTTCATACATACATAAGTTCACGCTTTCAAAAATGGAGGATCGGGGGATGTTGCCGGCAGATCGGCTCCCAGAAAAAAAAATTAGAGACCAAGCTAGGTTAGGCACGTTTGAGTCAAACTCCCCTACCGAGCGTTGCGAGCTACATAGGTACATACATACATACATAGTACACTAGACAAAGCTGGGAAAGGAGCTTGCGTCTTTCTTCACCGACTAAACGTCGCAATAGCCCTTCGCTGATCCGCGCTCTTCAGCTGAGCAGTTGTGGCTTAGATATTGTCATATCATTTCAAGTTCCCAAGTTCCTAAGCTCCCAAGTTTCCACGCTCTCTCCTATCGCGCAATCTGTTTCTTTGTCCGCTGCTCGTCGATACGAGTTTGTGGGGGGTTCGGCATTCGCGTGGTGTAAGAGCCCTGGAGTCATCATTTTGTTTCATACGGCCAACCCGTCTCGGAATTCTCCTTTTAACTAACTAACTAACTAACTAACTAACTAGTTACCTAACATATATGTATGTAGTATCTCTCATAACCCCTTTCTCTTTTCTTGGATTGCTCTATCGTATTTATTGCGTATAAGACACCGAGAACCTCCCCATTGCTTACAGAATTAGTTAGGCCGAGGCTGCAAAGCCTAGCAGTTTTCTACAGCTTGGCTTGGCTTGTGATTTAGATCTAACTGCCCAGCTCTACTACGTATATTATATACGCGTACCGCATTGACACCATACGAGCAAAACTTACGGCGTTTTGATATTAACATACATATCAACTACATATCGACAACGGGTTTGAATTACATAACAGATCTGCATGTAGATGAAACGTACTTAGGATGCACACTACTTACAACCAACTAAGAAATATGAGACTTTGTTAGTTTGTTAAACGGGGCGGTGTTAGTTTAGATCAACTAGTTGTCTCTTTTTGCTGAAGCTTTAAGTTCATCTCGCATCAAACCGTCAGGGTGGATTTTACCGGCCGAAACCTTGGGGTCCTATGCATTCCGTTGCATCTTTAAACCTTATTATGCGATAATAGCCTTCCGCCTGTTATATTTGACCTAGAACATCAGGGACTTGCGGGGGGCTGAAAAGGGTACAAATCAATTTGATTCACGTCATAGGATCTTGTTTGGGTAAGTTCCAATATACCTAAGCTCCAATACATCAATTTTATGTGCTAGACACCTAGGTTAGGTAGATAAGTTCAACCGGAATAATAAACGCTTGCAGAATAACGAAATCCTGCTCTTAAAAAACGCCATCAAATACGTCCGTTCATCTTCTTAAACAACAATTAATGATTACAGCTACTACTATATCAAATGCCTGTTCATTGCCAATATGGCGTCAAAGTTTGAACAGGAAGGTCGGACAGGAACAATTTTTGATAAGCTTAAGCTCAAGCTCAACTACGACATGAAATCTACAAGATAGACCAACATCTTTTTACAACAAGGTCACAACATGGTCACAACGGGCACGGGTCTTATGGATCTTGGCATTCAAGGGTCAATATACATAGGTACTTAAGTATACTAGTATACATGTATGTACGTAGGTATGGAAGTACCTTATCTGTCGGAGTCTAGATTTTCCGCGTATTTTGAATCCACCCCACCTGAGAGTCTTTCAATGGGGTCCTAAGGCTCTAAAGCCAATTGGACCAATTAAATGCTTTCCAAAATTTTGGTCTCTGGAGAGCAGCTTCAAACCCACGCACGCACACGCACACGCACACGATGAGGCCGTAAGAAACAACCTACCCACGGAAGGCCCCCCCAAAAAATATGCAGAAGATCCTCCGCCGAGTGGCTACCGCCGAGCGGGTGGTCGCCAAGCGGACCAAGACCAAAGACCTCAAGTGGTTCAAGAAGCAGAAGAAGGAGACGTTTCAGGATCAGCAGCAGCAGCTAAGCATGGCCCGAGAGGAATTCGATGCCGCGAAGCAAGCCGTGAAGGACGACTGGGAGTTGGGCCCCCTCGCCCCAAGACGAGACGTTGGCGACTGGGCCGATGCGAAGGGCGCCATTCACGAAGCTCGCTACGCTGCCTATGGCAAGGTCACTCTCGCCATGCGAAATCGCCGGTGTCAATGGGCTGGCGGCGCTTACCACCTTAACATCACCGTGGGGGACAGAGTCGTGCTGATCGACGGCCCGGATAAGGGGCGCATCGGCAAGATAAAGCATATAGACTACGACAAGGCCGAGGTTATCGTCGACGAGTTAAACAGGGTAATCCAGTTCTCCAGTTCCATATGGCGCTGTAACGCTCGTTACGGATTATAGTAGCCATTTTCAATAGCTAACACGGTATGAATCGCACAGACCAATATCAGAGTACAAAGAGAAATCCGAGACGATAACGAATCCCCCGTTGTCAACATAGAACTCCCCATACCCATCTCGGGCATCCGCCTCGTCCACCCCATCAAAGACCCCGCGACAGGCGTCACCCGCGACGTCATCATCAACCAGCTGGTACACGGAGGCTTCCTGCACGACCGCGTATCCGGCAAGCGGCGGTGGTCCCGCGTTGTCCCGGGCCTGAACATCTCGATCCCGTGGCCCAAGAAAGAAGAGAAGGAATTCAGAGACTACAACTGCGACACCCTGCGCATCGACGTCGAAGACAAGACCTTCGTCCCCACCCTCCTGCGCCCGCCCATGCCCGAGGCCGTCCTCGACGAGCTGCGCAACAAGTACAGCCGCTTCCGCACCCGCCACGACCCCCAATACATCGCGCGCCTGGAAGCCGAGCAGCAGGCCGTCGCCGACCGCAGCAAGCTCATGGACTCGATGCGCACCCCGCTGCAGGAGTTCCACCGCGCCCAGCGCGAGGGCAAGAAGAAGAAGGGCAAGCCCCGTCTCACCCAGGAGATGCTCGAGAAGATCGGCGAGGTCATGGCCAAGAACTTGGAGAGGACGCGGAACGGCCAGGCTCTGCTGGAAGCTGCCAGCAATAGCGCCGTGGCGTCGGCTGAGACGGCCGTACCGCCGCCGCTTCCTACAGAAACGACGGCGACGGCGACGGCGACGGTGACGGTGGACGACGCACAACCTCCGCCGTCCTCGACGTAAAATTAAAAAATTAAAAAATGGTTGTAGAATATGGATGCTACTTAGACCTGTAACATAAGTGTACATATTGCATTCAGTGGCACGCGAAGCATCAAACCAACTTCGTACTCCTTCCTAGGCGTAAATCTCCCCCCCTATGTGATTGAATCCCCACCTCCTATCCAGCCGGTACTTTTATCTATGCCCTGAACCACCCCTTCCCTACCTACGAGCCGAGCAACGACAGCCTTTCCAAGGCCGTGATAACAGGCGGTTCCTGCTTCTTCCACTTAGCCTCGAGGTTCTCGTATAAAACCGCATCCGCGCCCATAGGCCTCCACTCCTCATCCTCGTCTCCTCTGCCTTCTTCGCCAGCCGGCTGGTTTCCAGCACCCGCGAACACCTCCTTGACGGCTACCCTGCAGGCCTCCGCTACTTCGGCAGCCAGCGCCTCGAGAGCACGAGCACGTTCGTGCATGCCACGGCGCACGAGCGCAAAGACAAGACGCTCGGCATCTGGCTTTGCACCCTCAACGCGCTCCACCAGTCGGCGAACGCTGTTGACGAGGTACTCCTCCTCGTAGACAGTACCCTTGCGACCACGAGCGCGCTTCTTCTCCTCGCGGCGGCGGTTCTTGCTCGTAGCGCGACTGACGCCCGTTCCCGCCGTGCCCACGCTTCCCGCTCCCTTGCCCGTGTACCGTGTGAACAAGCTGGCGCTCGTGCTAATACGTGAGCTGGCTGCCACCGACACGTCATCCGGGATATCGCCTGCGCCAGCACGTTCGCCCTCGTAGAAACCCAGCGGGTCCTCGGCCGCCTTTCGCCGGAGATCCATGATACGAGGAACCTGTGCGCGAAGCTGCGCCTTGCAGTCCGCAAAAAACTCAGTACTACTACCTAGAGAGTCTGCGAGACCGGGATCGACGGCGCTCGTTAAGAGGTCGGGGCGCCCGCGCTGTGCTACTAGGCGCATGGCGTCAGCAAATAGATATCCTTTGCAGAGACAGGAGATGGTATTTTCGAGCGAGTTGAGGTGATCGAGATGGATTGTTGCCGCGGACGCGTAGTCCTTGGCTTCGTAGAGGGCTTCCGCAAGCGTTGCTGCGAGATCAGAGAGCGCATCTGGAGCCAGAGCCGGTGATTGTTGCTGTGCCGTGAAGAGGCATTCACGCCAGCAGGAAGCGCCGGCAGCACGGTAACACCTGGTAGCCCCTGTATAGTCGTCAAGAGACTCGTAAGTGAGACCCGCTTCTCGTAAACGAGACTTAGACTCGAGATACGCCGCATAGAGACCAGTAAGGATAGTAAGGTTAGGTTGGTCGTAGCGATAGAGCTTCAACGCCATGGCGTAGAGTGCGTGTTTGACTGTGTAGTCTTGGGCTTCCTTATGCGCCTGGCTAGTTTGAAGGTGAACCAAGGCTTTCTCATGTCGTCCAAGATGATCATCAATAGCAAATTTCCGTCTTAAGTCGGGTAACAGATGTAGATTTTGATGGAATGGAAGGTACTCTCGGGGATCTCTTTGAGACTGTTGTGCAACTAGTAGCGCTAAGTCTAAATGGTAGAGACCTAAGGCTTCATCGTATAAGGTGTTGACATCTGCAAGAAAGCAGATGTGTTCGACAGCTTTCTCGGCAAGCTGTTCATCTTCTTGCAATAGAGCAGCAACAACTAACAGCCCGTCTTCATACGCGGGTGGAACCTTGCAGACATTGGCTGTAATAATGTTTTGTAGGGTGTCATGGTCCTTGGTCTTACGAGATTGGAGATGAGATAGCACCGCGTCGCAAATAGTATTAACCTTTGAACTGTCTTGGGGTTTACCAGTAGGGATCTCGCTAGGAGTCACTTCCGGTGGCTCTTGATTCCTCACACCCTTAGTATCTCGATACATGGTCTGCGTGACATCTTCGTCTCTATTCCGCGTTAGGTATATGCTCATACGTGGTATGCGAGCTCACTTACCGTAGAGAGGAAAGGAAGAGGTCGATATACGAAACATCTCCAACTTGGTCGAGGAAGAGTCCAATACTAGCAAGGAATTGCTGCGGTCTGTGATCATAAAGAATATTCATATCCACACGCTGGGTCCGACAGTACGAGTATGCCTTTCCGTAATCTTTAGCGTCAATCAGTTGCCTAATTCCCGCTACAACCATGGCTCGGGGATAGATCGTTTCCAGGTTTCCACGCGGCATCTGGAGAACTAGACTCATATTAGTAGGCATTGCTGTCACAAGCCTTGCGCCCCTCTCGATACTCCGACACCTCTCATCCTTTTCAGGATCATCTGGTGGTACCTCCAAGCCTATAAGGCGGGGTTAGCTAAGAAGAAATTGGATATCGTTGGGACTCACTCTCTACATCGACCAAATGGATAAACTTGACTAGATGGCTAGTTGTTGTAACAATGAGATGAGCTGGGGTAACAAGAAAAGATGTGCAATTCTTCATTAAGAGGCGAGAGTTTGCATATAGATGTCCGTTCCGTGATAACCCGACAGCAATGACGTTACCGGCGAGGTCGACGACTTCGCTCCACGGAAGCTGAGATGGAAGGCGGACTGAGTACAAGTCATCCTGCTGGTTGACAACACCATGAAATCTACCTAGGCAATCTTGAAGGAGGACCTCTGTAGATCCTGATTGGGTTAGACGCACAAAGCCAAACATTGAACCAGCATATATGCTCGAGTTAGATGAAAATTCACCAGTAGTTCGGTCAAAGGGGTGCGACTGGATCACGGGGCCCTTTTCAAATCCGAGGCAGTGGATAACACTATTCTCGGTGACGGCAATCTGTAAAGGTTGACATTCATTGTCCGGGTTATCTTTAGCGAAAGTCAGGCTGCCTACTAAAGACGGAGGTAGAGAACGCTGCCCCTTTAATTTCCATTCATATACGTCTACACCGAATTGATGGAGAACGACCATGAACGTATTTGCTGGAGAAAATGTCACATCGATAATTGGCGATGATGCCTGTAGTTCAAATAATGCCATTGGAGGAGGAACGTTGGCTGTCCGAAAGGGGGTGAGCTTGAGCGTCTTCCCGTCTATGACAGCAACGGCTCCATAATCATATGGAGGCGTCAGCGACCCTCGAGCAACCTCGAAAATATACTCAGTGAGCAATAGTCTATCTGCAATACTCTTAGTGTTGAAGATACGCCCGTAAAGATTCGAACTCACCTAAGACGGCCGATGCGAAACGCAGTGACTTTTCAGGATGCCATGTAAGGGAGAGTGGACGCTTCTGCGTGATGATTTCTTGCTTCAGATACCAGTGGTAATTGCCCATAGTCCAAAGTTGAATCCGATCATCAAGCGTAGCAGCAAGGACCGTAGAATCTGAGTTCCACTCAAGCCGTATCCGGTCATTTGAGAGTGACCTGCCTTCAGGGGCTCTTAGGGAAAATTGGCCATGTCTAAGGCCATTTCTCTCAAAGAATATAACATCCACACGGTCCTCAAAGCGTTGCATGGATGCAATCAAATTCCCGACAGGCCTCCAGCTTAAAGCGCACTCCATACCATCAACGGGTTCGCTTACGCTGTCAAGAACACCATCTCGGGAGTATACCCGAATGACTCGGCGGATGCCAGCCTCGATCGAGTTGATTGCGACGTATGCACCGTCGCCTCTCCAACTAATGGTCGTGCTTCCGTCATCGTTGGCGCTGAGTATGCCTTGGTCTACTTTTTCTGGTATCGTAGGGTCTCGCAAGGCTTTAGCGCCTCTGCCTTGAAATTGTGTTTCCTTCTTGCCCCAGCCAACAGAGACGTGCTTAGATGCTTTGAGATCATCGACGCTCATGGTCATATCTGCTATGCAATCGAAACTACGACTCATGAATATCACTGTGTTTGACTTGGTAGTTATGGCCAGCAGTTCTTCATCCGGAGACCAGCTTGCGGCTGTGATGCCCTCATCTACAGATCCCTCGATCTCGATGTGAACTCCATCATGAGCGTTTGGACCCTCTGATTCTTGGACGACAACTATGTCGCCTCCCTCAAGGACTAAGCAAGTTGTCAAGGTGTCGCTGAAGTGGTGCGAGCTTATGACTCTGTCAACAGCCAAATCCGGATTTGGACTTGGGGCGTCCCACGATGCGACATCTTGACATTCACTACAGTCGTAAATGGTGAGCAAACTATAGACTGTCGGATACCCCCGAATGGTGCAAACTCACATGTCTATAGACGAGGCCCTCACGTGCTCCAGTATCCTTACTAGGCGAATACGCCCATCTTTCTCGCTCGGACCAAAAGTGCACAAGACCTCATCTTTGGCTGGGTCCCAACATGTTGATGTGATAACCTCTTCGGTTGAATCGGTTGATGGCTTCCAAGCGTTATATCGTATGTTGCGAAGGTTACGCATCTTGGAAATGCCTGACCTCGTAGGGATATATGTCACTCCAATCTACACAGGGTATAACTCGGCTGCGACGAATGGAAGTGTGATACTTGGACTTTGTAATGACGACTATAAGTCCGTGCGATAAAACTTTTGTAAGTAGTATCGATACTGTGCTATGTATCTATGCACTGCATTTAGGTAGGTGCCTTAGGTAATCACATGGTTTATGCATTACCCCAGATCTTAACCCTAGATTCATCCTGTTGAGGATTTAGGTTTGAATCTAGTAAAATAATAATCTAATAAGGTTTAATACATAAGTATTGTCACAAGGTGGAACCAAATAGCATAGAAATAGCTTCGTTATTCCACGAGTAACTCTAACCTAATTACGGGAGCCTACGGCTGTACATGTGCACTGAACATGTACTAGATTCAGTATAAGGAGAGTGAGATGTTACTCAACTAATCCTTTTTTTTCTTCTCTTTTTTATAGATATATGAAGTAGGCCGTCTAGTACCGGAAGAACGAGCCGGTTGAGATAATATCGTGCATTAACTAGAATCATATCTGCGATCCGAAGATTAGTATCCTGGTTCGACCAGAAAAGAATGCTAGAAACTTACCGTGCTAGGTAACCAACTTAGCCGTTTCAGAAGAATCCGTCAGCAAAGGTGGAAAGGTTCATGTCGAGTCCTAGATATAGACGTATCAAGGAAGACAAACACGACAGCCACGAGGATCGTAGGCGGAGTGTATCCAACTGTTCTATGCATCCACCGATGTAGAAACTTCAAATTATCTACGTCTGAGGGCATGAAATGCTTGACGAGTAAGCATTTAAATATTTCTAGACACACTACCCAGCACACTATCTGACACAGGACCGAAACCCCTGCGTAGATTTGTTCGTTACGAAAGAACGTTTCGGGATTCATCGTTTGTGATATCGTTACCGACACAGCTGGAGTTGTTGCGAGGAGAAGTCAGGCTATCGTCATAGGAGTAATGGCAGTGGTACTGTAAATTTCTTTTTCTGTAGGTAAAGGACGTTCGTGCAATAACAATCAGGGCGTAATTATATAGTTATATATTTATATAGTTGGATGGGTTGTTAGTATAGTCGTATAAAACTCAAAGCCCCTATTATACTTATTCTTTTCTCTGTGCGCGAATACTATTATTAAAATTTGCTAATTACCTTATGTACGTTGGGAATTGGTATAGCACCTCATAGCCTGGTCTCAAAGTTGGATTTTCATCAAAGGGATATACTATATAATCCCGTAGCCCTTCAAGTATTCTAATGTGTCGTTTTCTCCAACGCTTCTTTACCCCTTTTCTATCCTTCGTTATTCCATCCTAACCTCTACCGACAAGTAATTGCATGTTCAATATTTTATTGTTCTACGAACCTACCCTACGTTGTCTACCAAATCGACAAATACCCAATCATGTTGGACAGATCTACAAAATGCCTGGTAGTGTGCTGCGTTTATAGCATATGGGGTGCCACCATGATTTTGATCGACGCAAAGATTGTCCAGCGGCGAGATACAATTGTCCAACGGGGCCGTGAGCTCCAAAACAGTCTTCGCATACCAAGTTGTTTGCGCGTTTTCGCCGAAGAGGATCCAGGAATATTGAAGGAGAATTTGAGAACCGCAGCCCACTTCCTAGTCCTCGCGTGCGCTATGGCTGTCCTCGGCGTACTTGTCGTTTTTCTTAATTGGACGGTTTGGGATTCTTCCGTATTAGGCGTTGCAATTATTAGCCCGTTCTGTATGGTTCTTATCGTATGGCTGGGACTTATATTGGGGAGGCGAAAGATATCGAAGGGCAACTTCAAGGACGACAGAGAGGATCCCGAGAAAGGCATACCAAACAACGGATTGAATCCTGGTGTGAAAAGGGCGCTTCAAGGTTTTCGGGTCACCGCTGTGATGGCACTTTGATTCATTACCCCTATATTTCAGCAGCTCCTAGGCCCCCTTATCTTGTCTTGCGTGCGAATGACGGGACGGGCAATATAAGAAAGAGGTCTTCTCCAACACACATCCACCCATCCACACATTAGCTACTCGGGCGTTTCTTCTTCTACGATAGCTCTTGCGCATATAAAGCGTACTATACGACGATACTCGACTTTACTCGACTTTACTCGACTTTACTCCTAGGAAACCTCACAACCTTGAGTTGATGATATTAGGTGGTTAGTGAATATAAGTAGATGTCTGCCAAAGCAACTAAGTTGTGATCCTGGATAAGTGAATTATGCATATTTTGTTAATTTATGTTATGTTATGTTATGTTATGTTATGTTACGCTATAGTATGGCAGGGATAAATCACGGTTCCGGCGGCCCTTGGCTTAAAGCGGCATGCCTCAGATCATCTAACAATTTCATCTTATTAACTACAAGATCTAATACAGGGTATTCAGGTTTGTAGGCCCAATTCCGTTTCTCGATCTACCAGTTGTACATAATCCAATTGGTCCCTTATTTGAACTTTCCATTGTAGGTATTTTATCCAAATATCGCCTTGCTAGGTACTTACGGCCTTGAGATTGTCCAACTTGTAGTGTTTGAACTCTTGTATAAATCATGGATGTCGCGTACAAACAGCATGCCAACCAAGCACGTCGCAAAAATAGATCATCTACGAACCTTCAACACTTGTCTCTCGCGCCGCTCACGTCTAAATTACCCCTGACCGACCCTGAAGACCTGCCTGACTTCGGCGCGTCGCCATTCCAATACAATGTTTCCTACCTACAGGGCAAATCCGCTCCTACGACCCCACGGCTACTCCAATCTCCTCCCCGGACTCGAGCCAACTCCCCTAGCCGACGTCGATCCTCGGTACACGATCCTGCAAGCGCGAATTTGCCGAAGAGCAAGTCTACGACCCATCTAGTTGCGTCAAATGCTAAACGCTCTGGCCTAGGAGCGTTATCGCCTCTTCCCCGGCATCATGCGCCACTCAACAACAAAGAGCAGGGAGACGACGACTGGATTCTGCGTACGGGGGCATTAATCAGCGCGGAGATGCGCGAGTCTAAGGGGCAAGCCTGGCTCGTCGAGAGGGCGAGCTCGACCAGTCTGACTGGCATGCGCGACGTTGAGGAAGAGGCATATGAACGAGAATTAGCTAGGGAGAGAGAACTCGCGAGCAGACGGAGTAGCCGACGGGGCAGTATAGCAAGTGGAGACGACGATATCATTTCGCCGAGCAGCCGCTATGGTAGCCGCTCTCAGAGCCGGGTTGGGAGTAGAGCTCATCTAAGGACACCTGTGGAGCGACACGCACACGATGGGTACTTTAGCTACGAAGTGTCACCGGAAGATCACATCCAAGGCCCGGATTTTGTGAGCCTGGACGAAAAGCTCGAGGCCTTCGAGACGGATACGAGCAAATCAGACGAGGCAGTTGTTCGGAGACTGGTCTATAGGAAAAACGATGGGGTAGGCTCTTGGGTCTGGTCCCTATTCTCCGTTGAGGAGAACGACGAGGAATCAGACACTGCCGACGGCGAGCTGTCAGATGGCGAAACCGAAGGAAGTCATTTGCCTCGTAGTGCAAGCACATTGGACTTTGAAGGCGTTTCGAATTTCCCAGAAGAACAAATTCCACCCCCTAAGTCAGATGAAGGTGGTTGGCGAGACGCCGCGTGGCTTTTGACCGTGGCATCCAAAGTTTTGCTTTAGAATCCGAGACAAATTCCGAAGATCATTGCATTTGCGCTGGATGCCATCTTGACAGCTCTCACGTCTAAGAGTCACATTGCAGCTGTGCCGAAAAGCCATCTCTACATTTCTACGACGGGGCCTTACCCCCTTCTGGCTGTCAGAAACTGAAATATATGAGCCAAGCGAAGGACTTCGATATTTTGCTGCTAAGAATAGAACACGGAATTCTGGATTTGATTATCGAACAGTACAATTTCATTGATCTGGAAGTTCACAAAACGGCTGAACCCGGCAATACTAAAAATAGTCTTGGAATCCAAATCCCATCAAGACCGTTACGTTAGTTGGCTCTACCTAAGCTTTGGAAGAAAATATTCTACAAATCAAAAACAACGGGAGTGCCTGCTCAAGGTGCTCAAGGTGCATACATGCACACGTTGCATACATATACGCCCGCTTCGCTTATTCCTTGCCTACCCTATGTAGTGCTTCTCGACTATTTGTAAAACGGAGTGTAGTTTGGGTGCGGGGAAGGCCACGAATTGCGATCTCTAGCCAACCCGCAGGGAGAGTCGTTCAGCTGGCTAGCTAGCTTGAGACAGCGCCAAAACCTGATTTTTTTTTACTCATAAAAATGCAGACAACATACGTTCGAGGCCTTTGACTAAGACGTGTGTCACTTGCGTGGTAAGAAAGAAAAAAAAACCCGTTACTCTGACGATTAGCAATATATGTTTTTCTACTCATTGTGCTCTGAAGCTTGCTGGGAACTACCCAGGTAGATTAAACCCGGGCGCTAGAACCCGTTAGTGACTGTCCTTAAATGTAAAATGGGCCCGGAAGTTGTAAGGATATACCGTAGCGAACCGAGTTGATATTTAGCGTGGTGGATAGATGGGTTTTAGTCTATTAGGTATTGTACGATGAACCGAATAAAGATTAGTTCTTATACCCACCAAGGTTCTATATAAGCGAGGCATTTTGTGAGAGGACTTCTGACTGTCTTTTTTTTTTATGAAAGGAGAAGAAGGGGGAAAAAAAGAAAGAAAGAAAAAATATCGAAATACACCGGTCAAACTCGTTCTAAATTTCGAAATATCCCTTGCGCAGTTATGTGTTGGCCAATGAACCCGCAAGTGGTACATACGTAGCCGAGAATTGCGGGAACAAACGAGGTCGATCTCCTCTTTGCCTTTTATGGACTTTGGGCCAAACCGTAAGAAGCGTAAAAAGATGATCCGCCTACATGTATGTATGCACTTGTCAAGGCTATCATGCACAAGTAATTTGTGACGAGTATCATGTAGCATGCCGCTACGCATGTAGAACATGTGGATTCGACAAGGAGTCCATGTCCGGATCCGGCCTTTGGAGCTCCGCCGAGTTGAGATCCATTATCTGGTGCTTGAACCGTTCAATGCGAACGGGTAGCAGATAGGCTAACAGACACCTAACCTAGGTATGTAGACTAACAAATAGACAATGTCGTGAGTGCGGGTAGCACTGTGTTGTAGCACGTCACACGGGAATTCAGGGTCTGGATTACTTATGACGTTTTCCCGATTGATGCCCCCACTTCAACATCAGATGCATGTGGAGACCCGGAAAAGCTTCGAGAATAAACAACGTGACCAACCCCTCGGTGCAGGGGGCGCGACGTGATATGGAGGGGTTCAACGATGCCACATTAGTTTTCCTACCATAATACAGATCCTAGTATGGACGCGACCGCGCATCCGTTAAGGCTGCTTGAGCTTTTCCATTAGCCCGAAAAAAAAAAAAAAAAAAAAAAGAAGACACGCCGACATTTATCGCTTCGGGTGTCCTAGAGTGGAAGCTTGGCTGAGGTACCACAGCTACGGTGCTCAAGGTTGAACGCAGCCCGCAGATATGGTAACATTTGATGTTGCGACTTCTGCAAGCGGCACGCCGTAGTAGTGAACTACGTTCTGTAGCGCTACATTGTGTTCGGGACCAACTTGTACTATAGCATAGTTTTTGGTTCCGCCATATTTAGGTATTGCCAATAACTTGGGATTTTGCGAGTGGCACAGGATCACTGGAATAGTAACACCGTAAGCTAGTAGGATCAGCTTGGCGGGCCGCAACTGTGCGGTCCAGGGTCCAGTATGTATGTCCTGACGACGCAAGGAGACCGGGGGAGCATGCAGTATTGTATATAGAAAGAGATGTGTCGACGTCGATCATAGAAGATTCCAGCTACGCTTATTTCGCTGAGTGGTGGGCGGGAGGCTTGATGAGGCTTCCCGTCTTCCCGCAACCCTCTCGCCTTGGCCTAACTGGGTTGTGTTGATGGCGAACATTCGGATTCACGAGCGAGATCGAGCCTGGTCGAACACGAAAGTATACATTTTCATATTGAACATCTGTAAACGAGGACAGCAAGAAGACTCGGTAACTAGGTAGGGAGGTAAGGGGTTTAAGTACCTAATACATCCTTGGGAAACGGTAAGTTAGCCTAATAAATCTCTCGTCAATCTCCTCGTCCCATCCATCCATCCCACGCCGGACCTGACGGGTCCTTCACCTTCGTCAGGCAGGGTAGATGTGTTATCGTGCAAATCCGACAGGCGCAGATATGGCGGCGGATAGGGCGTAGTGCTCATCTCCTGAGCTCGGTCGGCTCCTTTAGTAGCAGCAGTAGCAGCAGTAGCTTCCAATAGACTGGGTTTGACGATGGTTGGAGCCAAGAAATTTTGGTATGGTCGAGTTTAGTGTATGTTTGGAATACATGTGGATGTGGAAGAAGTAAAGATAGATATGTACCCCACCAATATCACTAATACGTATTATTACACTTTTTATTCTTTATTATTTTTTTTTTGTTTGAAAGCGTCCATGGCCCTTTTTTCTCTTTCCTTTGCAGCCCGTTAAGCGTTAAAGAACCCTTCGGCCCTTCCTTCTAAGTTTTAGGTAATGGGGAGGGTCATTTGGAATTCCGAATTAGGTATACTAACCGTTACCTAGGAAGGTACCCCAAGTAGCTAGTCGGCTAGCACCACATGCTTTATACGTGTATTGTATTGTAGGTATTGTATTGTATTGTACATAATGAATTGCGCGCCTACCTTAATTGCACGGTTTCGCATCGGTGACGTTGTTTAAAGACCCTTGACGCCCTTGACGGAACCCCTAAAGGTACGCCAAAACCGTAATTTCTAAGCACGAAACCGCCTATTACTACCTTTGGCACCGTTCAGAACAATCAACCCCCCTACATCCTACTTACCTCCTACATTACCTTAACCTACCATTTACAACACCTAGCATTACCTGTAGACGACCCAACATTAGTAACCCGCCAGGCTTGAGTTAAGTATTATTCCAGCCGGCCAGTTCAACAACGTATTATTCGGCATAGGTACCGACCAGCAAATAGTCTAACAAATAAACCTATACACTGTGCGACGTGCCGCCCCATCAACCCATTTTGTTACCATTACCCATCACCACTACTTCCTACCGATAGACCCCACCTAAATATTCTTCGATCAACACTAGAGTGGTTAAAGTCGCCGCGGTTTTTTTCAGACCACCCACACGACCCTCTTTCTAGGACATATTTTGTCCATTTCGCCGCTACCTTTTTCTATTTGTGACTTTGGGCTCATCGCATAGGGTCCCTTCTTCGCTACGACCAAAGTCGACTTCTCTGACTGGCGCCGTCTTTTCAGGACCAGTCCTTTACATCGCACAACCTGGCAACATGGCTGCTAACGACCAGGTATGAATGGAAACATGACTCTAAATTCAAAGTATAATACTTGGGCAAATAACTGACGGATCCTCGTCTGCCTGTGCAGAACGATGACGGTCATGACACTGGCAACCTGCCCGACCTAGGGGATGCGATCGATATTGTGACTTTTAGTCAGATTCTAGAGATGGACGATAGTGAAGACGATCGTGAATTTAGTAAATCCATCGTCTTCGGATTCTTCGAACAGGCCGAGGAGACATTTGAGAAAATGGACACGGCTCTGTAAGCTTTACCCTCACGGTCGCTACCTACGATGCTCTTTGTCACTGGCTGCCCCGCAGTTCTCTTTATAGACGACCGAAACTAATACGGCCGCACTTTTCTTAGGGAAGCGCGGAATCTTGATGAGCTATACCGACTTGGTCATTTTTTGAAAGGCTCGTCTGCGACTCTCGGCTTAACTAAAGTTAAGGACAGCTGCGAGAAGATCCAACGCTACGGGAAGAAAGAGAACCTCGATGGCAGCCCAGAGAGGGATGAGGCGCTCTGCCTATCTCGAATCACGGAAACTCTCAAGACAGTTAAGTCAGAGTACGCCGACGTAGAGCAGACCCTCAAGAATTTCTTCAACTCTACCTAGCCGATGGACGTGGGTCGAGTTTTTACATTTTGAGTTTGAATTGTACTATGCTACTAGCAACCTTAGCGATTATGGTCACCACATGGACACTCCCATGGGTGCGACCATTGCTAAAGGGCTTCGAACATCATGAGAAATGAAGGCTGCTCCAAGTTCTCAGAGAGGGAAAGGAAGTAGCAGCCGATTATTCTACCTAACCCATCAGTTGACTTCAGATATACCCCACGCCTGTCCTCTCGTACTTTTACAGCTTCGATCATCAGGTAGAGAGCAGTTTACTTTGTATGATGGTTTTATTGCAGGCAGTTGGTTGGTGCGCGTAACTCGGAGCACAATACACTGTACGATCATCTAGGTTAGTCTTAGGAGGCGACAGCTTCTCACGATCGGACAGGCAAGTCGCGCTCCTCTAATACACCGATTTTTTTTTTCATCCGCAGCCTTGCCTCGTCAGCTTTATGGATATTATCGCTCATATCCTGCAAAAGAGTGCCAACGTCACCCCACGTGCAGATCTGGATTTCTTTAGTGCTTAATACATAGCGGCGCATCTTGACGTACTTCTCTACGTCATACTTGTTATGCTGGCCATATGATGCAGGGTCATGGTTACTCTTGCCCATCTCTTCCTACGTGGCTAGTGCAGATCTCCCGTTTGCCAATCTGAGACGGCTTACTATGCGGTCCTAATATCGTAGCAAAATGTCGAGTAGTTCTCGATCTTGACTTGGGAGCATTGATTCGAAGTGAAATATTATAACCTAGGTAAGTTTGCATTTATTGAATTACAGATAATAAGGAGACCAATCAATATCACGTTTTACTAAGGGCTTGCACGTGGGCTCTTTTAGAGCCGTGCTATTTTAATCTATACTTAAAGCTCCGGAGCTATCTTCAATCTTAGAAATTACAGGCTTAGATCTCATTTAGATTATCTTCCGCATATCGAGATATTAGCCAACTTATTTATTTAGTTTGCGCACCGACAAATTACGTAAGGGGCTGTAGGTTTAATTTTCTTAGATACTATGTATCCTGGAGATAATTGGTGCGGTGAATTATTATTCATTATTCAACATACCTTACAAAGTTGAATCGAGGACCAAGCCAAACACAAACTCTATATGATAAATTCTGTATCCTTTTAGCTTAAGAAGTATTAGGTGTATCATCTATTCTTTGGTACAGCTTTACTATGCCGCCTCGGCCTTCACCTACGCACTTCTTATGCTTACCACTTGTTACGGGGCAATCCCGCCACCAACTCTCGGCGAGTTTATCAGCCTTTAGCAGAGATGTGACAAGCCCAGACAGTTTCGCTGTGCCAGAGCAAGCTATTCGGCCATTAGGTACACTTCACCTTACAATTGGCGTTATGAGCTTTCCAAGGGACGACGGCTTGGATAAGGCAGTGGCGCTCTTAAAGACACTGGTACCTAGGAAAATAATGGCGAGCATCAACGCTGCTGAAACAGGACAAGAGCCAACTGGGCCGCTGTCCCCTTTACTATCTGTAACGCTGAAAGGTTTACATTCAATGCAGCCAACGTCATCTAAGGCATCGGTGCTTTACGCTCCACCGGTCGATACTGAAGGTACTCTATTGCGATTTTGCGAGAATCTGCGATCGACCTTTCAGGAAGCCGGACTGATGACAGAAGAAAACCGGCCCTTGCTATTACATGCTACTATTATGAACACGATATACGCCAAAGGGAGAAATCGCAAAGGTGGGAAGCGACATGAGAAGCTGACAATCGATGCAAGGGATATATTAGACCGCTATGACGATTACGTATGGATGAAAGATGTCCCGGTAGAGAAAATCGCGATATGTAAGATGGGGGCGAAGAAGCAAGAAGACGGTGATGAAGCGTACGAAATTGAAGCGGAAATTGAGTTAACTTGACGATGATCGGTTGCTTCAAATCAGGCATTTTATGTACCTAATGTAATGTCAGTAGGTACAAGAAAGTCGAGCTTCATACAGCTCGGTGTAAGAAAGCTTGATACCACGGGATCGGAAGGAGCATTAACCATTGTACTACGGTATTGTACTGACAAACAGTCTACCCGAACTTAAGCCGTTACGCAATCCACACAGCCTCAAGCATGTACCTAACGTTTAGGTACATAGGTAAGTGTAGGTCTCCTCTGTTCTTTCCGTATTGATGACCTCCACGCAGGTGCTGATGTGGATTGACATGTAAGTCGCGTTAGGCACCGAGAAAACGTATCCGATTACAACCGATTTTGTCAATGTAGAATTCGTCTTGCAACGCCCTGCGCGCAACTCTGCTATTTTGACACTATGAGCCCGCCAGAGAAACGGCGGGGCAATTCCCATTCAATCCGCCCTTCAGCCTCATCACGAAACAGCATAATCTCCCCTCCTCCTCGTGCACAGCTCACCCGCGCAGCTTCTACCTCATCTTCGCCCGGTCCGGATAACGAAAGCACTCATGATGTCACAAGTTCGGGAAGCAAAGATAGTAGTGCGCCGTTGGCCTCTAAGGAAAAGGAGAACATCCTCCTAAAGGAGAAAGATGATAAGATTGCCGAATTGAACCGGGAACTTTCTGTTATGGAAGCTGAGTTTACGCGCGAATTGGATATACTCTCTCAAAAAGAAGGCGACACGGCTAGTTTCTGGCAAGCGAAGTATTCGGACTTAAATCGGCAGCTCGTACGAGTCGAATCTGAGCTCCGATTATTGCGTGCCGAGGTCGATGTAAGAGAGGCAGAGCGAGCTGAGTTGCGCGCAGGATGGGACCTTTTGCGAAGGGAAATAAAGGAGCGTGACGACGAGATACGAGCTTTAAAGGGTCATATCGCCGGACTCAAACAATGGGTCAGCACCAATACGGCGAGAGGCCATCAGACAACCGACGAAGAGTTCGGGGACTCTATGACGAAGCTTGGGAACGGCTTGCAAAATTGGGTTATCGTGCATTTCAGACGAGCAAAAATTGGTAGGGCGGCTCAACAACCATATGTGCGGCTTAGACGAACGTTCAATTAACGAGGGCATAGATTTTACGCATGCCGATGATGCTGAAATGCACGATCTTGCAGAACTTGTTCCTATGTATGAGCAACTTGCAGCATCGGCGAAGGTACATCTCCTTCAAAATGTGGTATCCAGCATCTTGGTAGAGAGTGTTTTCGAGGCCTATTTTGTTGGTCTTCCCGAAGATCAAACTCGCCAATTAACCCAGATAGAGAAGTATCTTAGGTCAATTAGTAAGTACCCTTGAAAGTACCCTTAAAAGTACCCTTAAAAGTACCCTTAAATTTGAGCTCGCCTTAGGATGACAGCTGACCCTCTAGTAGGCTCAATCGAAGCTGTGAACCAATGGCGTGCGACAACACTTACCATACTCCGAAAGGAGACCACCGCGCGGATGCAGGAAGAAATGACGCTAGTGATCGAATCCGTTATTTCAAGGGTCAATCACATTTTAGATACAATCACAGATGCCAGCGCAACGGAAGCTCGGGATAATGCGCTTCGCGCGCTGGTGCACAGCTCGGTCGAACTAGCACGCTTATTGGTAGTGCAGAAAGCTACATTCAAAGTTTACATGCCCAAGATCTTCCCTCACCAAAGGATATTATTTGAGGCATCTACTATGGAGGACATCGGGGCTGAAGATGAAGAGGATTTAGCTGGACGCGAAATCTGCTGTGTAACCTTCCCCGGAATCACCAAGACGGGGGATGAGAACGGCGACCACCCGCATTTCAAGAATGTCGTGGCAAAAGCTAGGGTCCTTTGCGATCCCGAATAAGACCTAAAACCGAGAAAGACTAAAAGCGGTGACTTAAACATTTTGATCGAGATAGCTCAAGTGGCTCGAATAAGATGACATCTTTCAGACGTGGTGCCCCATCTGCTCCTATACGATCTAACTCTATATCGGAATTCAAACGCGTACGACATATCGGAACGGTAAAAATGGAACACGCACGCAATGGGCGGGTTTGAAGCCTGAACCAATTAGAGCTGCTGCATCATCGTCCCTCTAAATTTACACGACACACCCTAAGCGTAGGGACAGGGGAGTCAGGAGGGGTCAAAGAAAGACCAGAGAAAATAAATGAAGTGGAGTAGTTGAGGCTCTGCGGACACAAATTTCTGCCGGTTCCCCCCTCCTCGCTGTCTTCAATCCACGGATCGAACCTATTGGAGCAGCTGTTGGTTGTATGCATACCTCCCACGATTGGACTCATGCAACGTATGCAACTTCGTGCATATCAATCACTTACCACGCATACCATCCATGCTTAGGAGATATCATACACGTCGTTTCAAATTCACTGTTATAGGAAGTTCATGATATTCTGACCTAAGAAAAAAGAAGCATATGAAAACAGTCCATCCACTCAAGACGCTCACCGGTCTCGCAGATGATTAACTAGGCGGGTTACCTCGTCAGTATTGTCTCCGTCTGACCACACGGATCGGCATCTGTGATACACGGAACACTGTCCCGCTTTCCAGACAAGAGATATAGATATCCCTTCAGAGCTAATATATGAGGTCTCGAGGCAAGTGCATAATATTGGCCGATGATTCGGGGTTTGCACTGAAGACAGCCCGAATCATACGCTAGTCTTATCCGTTCGTGCCTAATTCGCAGCACAATTATGACAGCATGTTATAGACAAGAACTTTTATGGTGACGAGAAGATATCTAACACGATAGACTATCATGACCAAGTATGTTAACTGACGTGACATCGACCGGTTCTAAGAAAGAAAAGAAATTATAGCCCGACAGGCGCATCAGACATCTGGGGACACAGTATCATATAGCTGAGAGATGAGATATTCGGTGATAGCCCGCCAGTCGAGGTTTGAGGTCTCGCGGGTGGACCTTGGATATAATAGATTGGTCCTCTACCACATCCGGGGCCAGCTCAAAATTGTTTACAGCAATGAGTCTCATATTCCTTGCTTGCTAGAAGTCTAGGCCACTCATCGAATCCACGACAGGGAGTGGTGGATAACCCAATGATATCTGAATGGTTCACAAGCAAACCCCGTGCCAATCAACCTCCCCTGGGCTACAGAAGTGGGTTATCGTGGGGGAATAAGAGTCATCTGTGCACGAAAGAGCCGTTGTAGATGCAGAAGAGCCATGCAGACGATTCGTCATGTCTTTATCATGTTAATGAGGCGTCTTTCGCCGTATCAGCAGTCATACACAGATTTGACTCGCTCGGTCTTGAATACGTGCTGCTTCCGGCAGAATTGCCGATCTTCGGATCGGTTCTCGGATAGTCGTGGTCTAAGAATACCTCATACTGATTCAATGGCGTTACTGCTACCCGATCAGATATATCCACGTCTCTTAGTAGCATAGCTGCATTATGTGGCCCAGGGTGGGTGTGGGAGTATGCAGCTCTGGAGGGTTGGATGCACACTCAGAAACGAGTCGGTGGCGGGCGCCAACATTCCGGGTAACGATTAAGAGACCATTATTCATTGTGGGTGTAATAGGCCGTATACCCCTGCTGGTAAACATTAAATGCTCTGGACTGGATCATGAGATTGGTATTTCAAGACAATAACAGCCCAAGAAGAGCCCGTCATCCTGTTTTCCCGAGAATCATCTTTCCAACAAATATCCTAGATGACAATTAAGAAAGACTGAACTTACCACTTACCCTAGCCTAAGAATCATCTTACGTTGAATTTCCGAATCCAGTTTCTCTTCCCCCCCTCTCTACCCCCCTTAAAATCGACCATCTCACCACTTGGGGCCGCCACAACTTGTTGCAAATCAGCATCTGCAGCAAAGTGGGCCAGTCCAGTTCCGAGTTATACATATGAGAAGTGTATTGCTTGCTGCACGTTCGAAAAAAAGAATAAAAAAAGAATAGAAAGTCGGTAACAGTTGGCGCCTGTCCAACGCTTCCATCATTCCGAGCTACCACGCCTACTATCTCCGAAAAGAGATTCAAGGATCTGAGAGCATCTATACACCATTGGGCATTAGCTCAGGTAATACTGTAAACCAAGCAAAGTCTCTTCGAAATCGCCGACAAAGGTGCCAACCGAAATTCCATCGGTTATCGCTTCTTTACCATATTTAGAAGGCCATCTTGAAACAACGCCGACAATCAAGACCTGGCTCTCGTATCTGGCCTAGGTTAGCTGTTTTATTAGTTGTATTCCTCGGCTCGATTTCGCATCGCCGACAGCCACCAATCACACTATACTACCTTAACCCCTCCATTCCTCGCCGGGCAATATGTCTAAGCGAACATCCAGCTATGGGTCTTCTTACACAGAAGGCACCTCAGACACTACATCGATTTGTAGTAATAGTACCATGCCGACTCAATACGGCGACCCTGACGATGGCCTACATAACCCATATCATACCCCAGTCCCTAGGGGTTTGCCGTGCGAATTCCTCGGATTTGGCTGTGAGCACACTTTCGGCTTCAGCCAAGTCGATACCAATGCTTGGATCGAGCATATAATCACCGACCACCTCGGGGACAAACTCCCTTCTAAAGCTATCTGTTGGTTCTGCGACACATTCCATTTTGACTATAGGGCGCGTGAAAATTGCGACCGCCGCCAAAACTTCGAAGATAGGATGTGGCACATCCGCGAGCACTTCATAGAAGAAGGTAAAACGGTCAATGACATACGTCCTGACTTCCACATGCTCGAGCATCTGCATTGCCACAAATATATCTCAGAAGATACATATATCAGGTGCATGAGGTGGAACGACCTATCATGCCCTCGTGAAGAGATGAAGCATGTCCGCAACCGCAACTTTGTGCCACCAGAGATAGAGGCACGGAATCGACGCTCGCAATCGGATGCTGTAGACATGATCAAAGATGAAAGGCAACGGAAGAAAGCACAGGGACAAAAAGGAAAGGAGCCTCGAGGTAAACACAATCATCACTCGATGCGATAAATCGAGGAGGGAGACATGGGGCTATAAGCGCGGCGGGAATACCCACAAGTGGTCCGCGAACTACTGCCGCCATGCCATGCCTGGCCGGCAGACAGCCAATACCCATATACCCATATACCCATATACCGGCTTTGTTAAATTCCCGACTCTTGGTCCCGATGCC